CCCAGCCTGTACTTGTGCTTGATTCCAGTCAAATCCTAGAGCACTTCAAGCCACTTCTTCCTCTCCTGTAACTCACTGTGGTTTGCTGTACCAACAAGGAGTATGTATTCCTGCACTTAGGACATTCCTATGTGGGATGACTATACTGCGAACTGCTCTCAGGTTGTAGAAGCAATAGAGGGTTTCTGACAACACAGGCCTTGGAATAAGCAGATCTCCAGTCCCATATGCTTTTAGCTAATACACAGCTCTATAGCAGAATAAGAATGCGGTTACAATCTCCTTTTGTACAATACAATGGGCAACAGCAATGCCTGAATAGAGACTAGTTTAACTCCTGAGGCAAAACAGGAGAGAGAAGTTCCTCCTGCATTCAGGACTCCCTGGGAGTAGTGCTCTGCGACTGCTGCTTTACTGTTGTGTCAGTCCACTTGCTCAGCAACTAATTTCTCCCGAAGATGGGCTGCCTCACCAGGCACCACTCACTTTTGGAGCTTCCCCTTCATCTTTTCAGTATATTTCTCATCATAGAGCACGGGCCTGACGCACGAGCGCAATAAAGAACTAATCCCAAAGAGTCCTTTTAGAGATTTCTGGTTGGCTCAGTTAAGAAGACATATTTTTCCCCAAAATTTGTCTGAGGATACAGCCATTTTGTGAGCCTGTTAGGAACAACTGATAATCTGCAGGGCATGCAGTTTTTCGCAGGGCACAGTAAACCAGCACGGAGTTTGGCAAACGGATTGTGCGGAGCAGGATGTGACCCAGCTGGCTCGACATGGGCCACCTCTGAATCCAAAGCCCTGTACCTCTGCTGGGCAGTATTCTGCTGTCAGCAACATTGCATAAGCTTGAGCACAGCTCCTTGAGACTGCAGCCAATGCTGTGCAATTATTTAAACATAGAGGGAGCACAGGTTTGTCTGCAAAACATTGTGCAGACGCAGCTGGAATCTATCAATAGACTTTTCTTAATTCAGGTACAGGGTTTGCATAGATATAAGACTATAGTTTTATTTAAGTGTATTTCAGCAGATGCGTTTGTTGAAGGGAAAGTTTTTTTAAGTGTAACTTAATATTTCTCCATGCAGCCTCCGGAGTAATAGAATCACCAGCAATGACAGATCCTGTACAGGTTTCTCAGTGTTGATTCTTTTCCCTTTGTCATTTTTAATGCTGATTGTAACTGCTGGGAGGTATACAGCTGTTCCCACCTTCACCTTACAGAAAACTTGACTATTTTAGTTTCTTCCTTACACCCAGACAAAGGCCAGCCCTTTTCCTGTCACTTCTTAGTCTGTAGATGATTCTCCAACCAGTTTAGGCAGAGAGTTCAACAGGGCATCATGAGTCACACTTCCCTTTTCATGGTATTTTTGGAACTATCAGAAATCTTTTAAATACATTCTGACAATTTGAAAAAGAAAAAACTGCAGTTGCCTTATTTTGATTTAACTGAATCTTGAAAGATAAGCAGGGGGGTGTGAAGGAGGATGCACAGAAACAATGCTGCCTTGACTCATTTTCTTGTCCATTCTGGGTTGATGTTTTTGGCCTTTAGCTGCTTGAATTGCTTGTCGAGCATGGCTGTAAGATTTAATGCCTCCAACAAATAATTTCTGAACAGAACAAAGAAACGTGGTTATTTCAGTTCACAATGTCTATGTGCATGACATAATGAAATTTCAGCATTGATGTCAACAGCACCGATGTGGTTTTTTTAAGTGGTTGGAGTTTTAGCAAGTGAGGCAGTATAACTGCCCTTGAGGGGTCTCTGCCCTTTGACAGCAAAGCAGAAAGATATTGTGTTCTGCAAATCTGCCGCTCTGCTGTGCTTTTGAGAATGGAGAATATAATCTGGTTTAACAAGCACTAGTGTTCTCATAATGTCAGCTGAAGAGGATTACAGGAGAATCAATTTTATGTAATTAAACTTCCCTGGCATAAATAGAGATCATTTCCTTAAAGGAAAAAAAAATAGAAAAGTCTCCATGACTGGAGCATTCCCTTCCCTTCCTACAGAGCACTTATTAACTTCTTACATTAAATGAAAAATGGTAAATGGAAACAAATCTTGGGAAACACCACCCTCCCACTGATACGCACTAACGTTAAAAAAAAGTGTATTTGGTGTGTAACAATTCCACTAGAATTGGAAAACATAACTTGACAGATGTCTTGTTTTGAGTCTTCCTTTGGCAATGGAAAAACAGAACAGCAGAGCTTGTCATAGTCCTGCAGTTCCCACATCTTTCCCTCATGTCCATGTTGATAGGTCTTTCTCAAAGCATGCTTATGCGTCCTTTGGACACAAAATGACCTGCATGCAGGAACAAAGGAGAAATTGTTACACCTGTCCAAATTTAAATTTTCAGCTGGAACTGTTGAAGTATAAACAGGATCAGGGTTACTGAGGGTGTAGGATTTCCCTGCACCTCTGGCTTTGAATGCAGTAATATCCTTTAGCTGGGAAATGCAAATCAAGCAGCAGCAGACCATGCAGGTTAATTTAAATCTTAATATTACCACATCCTGTTTAATACAACCTGGGGGTACATACAACCAAAAATTGTCTCACAGTGTTATTGCAAGGACAGTATTACCAGGACAGCTCTCGTGTTACAAATGGGTTCCAAAGGAAAGGAAAGAGATCGGTTTTAGAAGAGGTGTGATTGGTTCACACCAGACCCTAAGACCAGAGTCTGAACGACAGTTTGGGAGTAATCTGCAAAATACCTGTGTGTAAAACTGGCAAGACTTGGTCCCTCTCTTCCATTAGGGCAACGCAGATCCTGTTGATCCATACTGGTCATTGTGCTTCCTGGTCACTTAGCCTCCACACCGGGTATTGGACCGCGATATTGGCATGGCGACTATGCTGACTCTTGTCTTACGTGTTTGTGTCTTGATATTAAAGTTGCAGAATTAGTCAACTCTGGTGGGTGTGTGAAGCTCCTGCCTTTGCGCTATGAACAATGGAAAGACTTTAGTGGTAGCTGGCACCTGCCTAAGGGAGGAAGAAACTGCTCCATTACTGGCACCTGGGTGAGGATAAAACATTCTGTCACCCTCAGGGATCATAATAGACAAGAGAAATGGGAAGAAGTGCTAGATGAAGTGCACTCATGCCTGTGCTTCCGCCATTCAGATCTTGATTGCACTCACAATTTGCCCATTTCTTGCAGCACCCTCTCAGGCCTGGCAGTCAGTAACTAATGCCAAGAGGGTGCCTGCTTGACTTCCTGCACCTGCATCCCACATCAGCACACAGCCTGTGTGACCTGCAGTAGCACCTCTGGAATAGGTTATGTTCGTGGAGCCATTACCGCCCATTAAATTCTGCAGTAAATCTTACTGTGGGAGTTCAGCAGACTCTTAGCTTGTCCCATCAGCATGATGTTTATTCATTTTGACTTTCCATTTTGCTGCAAGTGGCCTCTTTCTCTTATCCTCTGTTCACTGTATGTTCAAATTTTTGGGTAGAAAATACCTGTCTGCTTTTACTCATGTTGTATGTCCAAATGTCAACATTAAATAAAGGATGGATCAAGGTAAAGAGTGATTGTGTTTTATGCAACACACTCTTCCTGCTGTCTCAGTTGACCAAAGTGTATGTTCTATGTGCTTGAGAGATGCCTTCCTACCTGTAATATCAAGGGGAGTGAGGTCATGTCAGGAGATCTGATTTATTTGGTAGCCTTTTTGTGTTTATACTGTATTGCACATCCGAGCTTGAATTAGTTTGTGAACTCTTGCTGTTATGTATCCAGTTTCCCTTTCCATGACTTGCCCCCATCTCCTAAAGCTAGTATAACTAATGTGGGTTGTAAACCTTGCATTTTCTGATGGTTTTGCTTTGTTTAGCAATGCCTTTTCTCTTGGACTGAGAATGATCCAAGTCTCTGGGAATTTTCTTTCTGATTTCTGTAAGACTGCATAACGTTTTCTTTGTTTTGATTAAAAGAGAAAAAAAAATCTTTTTAAGACAAAGTTAATTGAAGTCTAACCCTGATAAGAAGAAAGAATTGAAAATGTTTCCTCATTTTGTACATTTTTTTTTTCCTGTAGAGTCCAAGAAAATTATTCTTGATCAGGATGTATTTCACATACTGCAGTGGTTCTGTAACACCTTACTGTGTGACCATCTCAGCCAGGCTTTATAGCACTGTCACTACTAAGCTAAAAATATTTCCATCCAGAATACTGTCTGCATCATCCTTGCCATACTATCTCATCATACACCCCTGGTTTTGTCCTATCCATCATGTTTATCTGGGTCATTTTTCTTTTTGCAGTTAGGTGCCAGAGTTAGTGACTGTTATATGCTTTATAAATATTTTCTTTTCTTTGTGGGCTGCATAGGTCACGTCCTGCAGCTGATGTAGTAGTGTGATCAAGCAGGGATCTGTACAATGAAAATGGTTTTCATGGTGTCTGTTGTGGGATCAGACCATATGTTTTGAATCATCGAGTACAGGTCTGCTGTACTAAAAAATTATATCCTGTCCTGTTATTCGTGTGTTTGAATTCAGAACAATGGAAAGCTGGGATGTTTTGGCTGACTTGCCTTCAAGTTGGTTACAGGTGAAAGATCTGCTCTATGTTTCCCTGCATCAGGAAACTGCGTGTCTTTCTTTTCTAGGTTTGAACGTATTCATACAAAGAAAGGGAACTACAGTAAGTCACTAGTTTCAAACCAGGAAGAGGTAGATGATTTAGCAACCTTGGAAGTTCTGGATGAGGTAAGAACCTCCATTTTCATGTTTTTCCAAAGAGGAGTAATCAGGTAATAAAACACAATGGTGTGCTGCTGATTTTCCAGTTCAACTATGTTGTCACGCTTCAAATGTGTAAGTGTACAATGGCCTTTTGCCAGTTTATGCAGAATGTTATTGATGAAATTTGCTGTGTCGGGAATGGTTCCAACTCAGTGCTAAAACACCCTCTGCAGTCAGAGCCTCAGACTGAGCAGTATTGTAGCACCATTTGCTTAACAGGGTTTATATTGATCTATTTTTTTTTTCAGCTAGATATCTAGTTTGTAGGGATGCGTTAACCTGAAATTGGTGCAGGTCCAAGGACAAGGACCTTCTCCCCTGTTGCTTGGTTATCTAGTGTTGTCTCAAACTAGCTTGCTATACTCTCTTAGGCTGGGTTCTCACCGACTTACTTTGGTGTGAAGATGCATTGAGGTTTATGTCATCTGAGACTCTGATCTATCAATGCTTTATTGTGAACTTCTGACAAAATTATTGATACAAATCTCACTGGTTTGTCAAAATTTGAAAATGAGTCCACTAGGAGGAGGGGAACATTCATAAGAGAGGAGGAAAGTGTGTTGTGTTTAAAACTTTAAGCTTCAAAACCAGAAATAAGAAGCAGGCCACAGCACATTATCTGCAGGTCTTAGAGGCCATCAGTTGTTGTAAACAAAGTCATTCTTCCTCTGCCAGGCTGTACATAGACTACAGTTCACATTCTTTTATCTGTAAAACTTCTCTGGTATAGGGCATCTTCATCAGTCCAGAATACTCAGTGTGGCTCTTGAGCTGGTAAACTACATAATGCTGACAGCCCACAGGACATCTTCCATTGTCTAAGAGCTTGGTTAGAGTAGCTTAATGTTTTAATATTGACTGGGATAATCCAGACTTCACCTACTGCACAAAGCTCATATTTAAGCATTTTTTTAATTGGGAATAGACTTATGCTGTTAAGGCTGGTTTTCCTCTTTTTCCATGAAGCTTATAATCAATCTGAATTCAAGCTTATGACTCTTCCTTGATGAGTTACGTGAAGCTGTAGTGTTAGAAATTGACAAGACTGTTTCATGGGAACCTTTGATTAACTGAATTAAAACAAGTATAAAATTATTTTTCTGCAGCCACTTGGGTATTTTTAAGTATATATTGGTCACAGTGAATTTGGGCACAAGAAATCATGAATACTAGGGTCTTTGAAAGTATTACTCACTTTTGATCAAGATCGATTGTATTTCTGACCATTAATACATTCCTTCTCTCTCCTACTCACTCATTGTAACTATAGAAATATCTTATACATTTCCTTAATATTCTTTTTTCCCCCTGTGATTCAATCTTCCTGTCTTTCTCCATCAGAATACAGTAACAGAACAGTTGCAGAAGAGTTATGCCAAGGATCAGATCTACACATACGTTGGAGACATTCTCATCGCTGTTAATCCATTTCGGAACATAGACATTTATTCTTCACAGGTGTGAAAGTCTAGGTTTGGTTCTTTTCCACTAGCAGTGCTTTCCATTCAAATATGAAAATTCGTGTTAAAAGTTAAGACCATTCTTGACGCTTACTTCAGTTCACTCTGAAAAGCAGAATTACCAATACAATTGTCCCTTCAAGTGCACATTGACACACACCCTAATCATGTGCTGAATTTCAGCACAGAAATGAGTAACTGTAAAAAAATGTGTCCAGTATCTTTACATGTACAGTGTAGCTCATGTCTATATCATGTCTCAAGTGCTACAGCTATATCTGAGCAAGTAATCCATTTTAATCGATAGATTAAAATAGCATTTTTGAGGTCATTGTTCTTCTAGTGACTTTCAACCTTCACTCTATGATGAGATCAGTTGTGCTAAACTTCGTGAGGTTTGTTGCCTGGAACCCAACAGAGTGTAAAGGCTCTAGCTGCCCATAGCAGCCAGTTCAGAAGTAATATCTGTCCAGATGAGTGCATTTATTCAGGTGAATCTTACCTGTCTTCATGGGAGGGAGCATTTCTTCCCCTCCACTTGCCAGGGAGAACTTCTGTACTGAACCAAATGGCTGGAGGTAGGAGTTGGGGGCATTCTCTCCCAAGGCAGCTGGGAAAGTCATAGCTGTTTAACTGAGCAGGTAGTTTACAAAGCAGTCCTGTCAAATTTTAACTTTTGTGAATTTGCCTCCCCATTATACAAAAGAAGACAGATATGAAAGTCCAGTCATACGGTAATTTGCCATTACTCTTTATCAATTACTGCAGGTACAGAAAAGATACTAAGTTTTAATATCAGTATCATGCAGAAATATTAAGAGGATGTGAAGTGCAAATAAAATGAAATTTTAAGTTGGTCCTTTGTGTCTGGTAACATCCATTTTTCTCCTAATAATTTGAGTTTTATAGCATAATCAGAACTGATACCATACAAAATTGTACTTCATCTCTTTTAGCAGTTCTTTTAGGACTAAGTAGATACAGATTCATGGTATAGCAAGTGCAGTAACAGCTCACTCAGGAAATACCACTGCTTGTAACCTCATCATGCTGTACACTAATCTGAAAAAAAACCATATACTCTGTTAAGATTGTACAAAAAAATTGTTAAGGGACACTGATAATGTTTTCATTTTTCTTACATTTAGCATTCCAAACTGTATATTGGAGCCAAACGGACTGCTAACCCTCCTCATATTTTTGCTGTTGCTGACATAGGTTATCAGTCCATGGTGACATACAACTCAGATCAGGTAAAGATGAAGTATCTTTAATTATATCCTGTGCTAGACAGGGAGATATGTAATGAGCTCAGAGTCATGCTCCTCTTCTCTGCAGTGTATCGTTATTTCTGGAGAAAGTGGAGCTGGCAAGACGCAAAGTGCTCATCTTCTGGTTTCGCAGCTCACTGTCCTGGGCAAGGTACGTTTCAAAGGGGGAGCCTCTGTTAGGCTTTGCTATCTTAGGCCTGATTGACTGTACCAATGGACAGGGCATTGGTAAGGGGACAAGACTGTAATACATTTTCCAAAGAAAGATTGGAAGATGAAGCTGATCTATCTACGCTTTCTCTCTCCTGAACTAGAGTCACTTGAAAATATTTTGGGGATTCTGCAGGGAAGTACCCACTGAACTGAGGGCGGTGACTTAGTCTGTCCCTTGTTTAACTGAGTGTCTTCAAATCACCCAAGCTGTACTAAATGAAATCCTCTTCTAGCTTTTCACCTCCTTCTACAACCAGATTGCAGTAACAAAAACATCCCTGTGCTATCAACGATGTTTCCAGCCAAAACAAAGCCCTATGCCAGCTATTCTGAAGAACATTAACTGTAGCCCAGCCAACACCAGCACAGCGATGACTGATAATTTTAAGCAATATCTTTTTCATATCCAGGCTAATAACAGGACTCTACAGGAGAAGATCCTCCAGGTGAATAACCTTGTAGAGGCATTTGGAAATGCAGGCACTATCATCAATGATAACTCCAGCAGATTTGGAAAATATCTGGAAATGAAATTCACTTGTGGTGGCACTGTTGTAGGAGCTCAGATTTCAGAGTATCTTCTTGAAAAATCCAGAGTTGTCCACCAGGCAGTGTAAGTATAAAAACCATATTTGACCTACTTTGGGAGTTACACAGTAGACTTATAATGCAGGAAATTATCTTGAATCAAATCATGAAGATGAATAAGGTACTGGGATTTTTTTCTTATAAATGATATATAAATAGCTTACAAATCTGTAAGCTAGCTGAAAATTACTGACTTTTTTTTTTTTTGCATTGCCTCCTGGGTTATTTAAACAAATCTCATAAAAATGCGTATGTGTATATATGAAGTGTATCAGAATGTGTAAAGAAGTAAAAACTTTCTTATAGTTCAGTTACAAATTTATTTTTGGAAGTTTGAAATATTGTATTAAGTATATTACTTGGATTTAATTCCTCTACATTTCCTCTGGTATTGTAGATTTGTTTGTTTGTTTGCAAAGTGCTTGTTTACTTTTTTGGAGCATCTAGTAGGATTTAGTTATAAAAGCTTATGGATGAAATGCAGAACAGATCCATCTCTGTTTTGTGTGTGTGTATCATAATACAAAACTACAGAAAAATTAAATGGCATTTCCACTTAATTTAAATTACTGGCATATATTTTCTGTCCTAATATATAGCACATCCAGATGAACACTATTTTGGCAACTATTTCTGCCATAGTAACGATAGGAAACACACGAGTTTGAGACAGTGGATGTCACTGATTTAAATTTTTCCTTTTCCTAATATCGTACTCACTTTTAGTCTTTTTGTGTTTCTGCATGACCTTGTTGCCCGTTGTAGGTGTATGACATGAAGAACATTTAAGCATCACTGGGAAGGTTTCAATAAACAATTGAAAGTTAGAGGCAATTTTATGAAATTACAGGGGTTTTTCCCTATTCATCATAAGCACAGAAACTGGTTTTTCAGAATAAAATCAGCTTTTTCCTTAAAATACCATTTTATTTCCTACCTTTTCATAGTTTTTTTTCTGTGGCTGTCAGTTTGTATCTGTATCTAGCCACATGCTGAGACAGGAAGTTGGCAAAGCATTTACATGCCTCAGGTGCTGTTTAGGTAGGAGTTTAGGGGTCTGAATTCACAAGAACATGCCACTGAGCTGCTTAGCATGAGAGCCACTGTAAGAGGTTAAATTCTGAGGCATGAACTTCCAAGCGTGCCTGAAGCTGTTTGTGTCAAGTGAGCTCTCTGTGTGGCTGGTCGATACGGCCGTGCCAGGGCAGAGAACTGGCATTCAGGTACCTGCATTACAAGGGCAATCTGTTCTGCTCTTCTGGGAGAACATGACTCCCAAACTCACATGGAAAGCTAGGAATGGCTTTTTGCAGTGACTGATTACCAAGAAAATGGGAGACTTAAGTTCCAGACCCATTTCAAGGCAGAAGGGTTTGAACCTTCAGGTTCCCCTACCTTTCCAAGAGAATATACAAGCCATCAGGACACTGAACTTTCACAGAGCGTGTAAAGCATGGCTGTGCAATGTAACGGTTAAGACACTGAGGAGGAAGATAAAGGATCTGCTCCTACTCCTTAAATTGATCTCATTTTCTTCTACTGACTGTCCACAGTAAAATATACAAACTAAGTTGACACTGGACTCTGGTCTAAGCACCTCCATGCAGAAAGGAGTGCACTGGGCTTCACAGAAGCATGTAATGGTGCTCCTGAGACACATGCCCCATGCAGAAACCAGGGGTTTGAACACAATTCCTTTTTGCCATTTCCAGTGACGGCCTTGGCCAACTCAGGGTTCAGTGGTGGTTGCAAGTTTCCACCTAAGCATCCTGTTCTTCCTTTTAAGGTGTACAGGAAGCTTAGATGTGCAAATAAACCTCCGTTCTGGGTTTGGGCACCTACCTTTTAAGCAAAGCATGCTAAGTCATAAGGCCCTTTGCCGAATGTCTGCTTACGTGCTTTCTTGGTTCAGGACTAAAGGACACAGCAAACATACTGGAATCAGTGAATCGGGAGTGTATAGCTCTCCCATGGTGAGATTTTTTTAGATGACTGGAGGTTAAGCAGCCCATTGAATGTGGGTGGGTGAGCAACATGCAAGATCTCACCAAGCATCTACCAATTGCATCAAAGGCAGAGCAGCATTTAGCTGCTTGTAGCACCAAGCGGCTCCCCTGGTAGCTTCAGAACAAACACACAATGGCACAGAAAGGGTGTTCTTCACGGAAACTTGTGTAATAAAGCTTCTTTCAGAGTCCTCTGTCAGTTTACATGAGCCTTGCCTGTTATTAGAATAAGATTTAATAATAGCTTGTATGTCATCAGTAAATGTAAAATTGTTACGTTACTAAACCAGTTTGTTGTTTCTGTTGTTTCAGAGGAGAGAAAAATTTCCATATTTTTTATTATATTTATGCTGGTCTGGCAGAAAAGAAAAAACTGGCACATTATAAACTGCCAGAATATAGACCTCCCAGGTAATGCAGTTTATTTTTACATAAATTGGTTACTAAGAAATGCAGTGTTGAATTCGCAACCTCATTTACATTCTAACTCTGTATCCCTCAACTCTTTCAGATATCTGCAAAATGAACATTTCAGAATAGTGCAAGATTTCATGAACAATAGCTTTTATAAGTCCCAGTTTGAATTAATTGAACAGTGCTTCAAAGTCATTGGTTTTACATTGGAGGTGAGTGTTGGTAATAGGTTTTTTTGTGAACTTTATTGGCTACCTTAATTAGGAAAAAACTTATATAAAGCATTCAAATAAACTTGCTTGTTATTTTCTTCCTTTAGCAGTAGTGGGTGTATGTTTTAGGATATTGCATGATCAACTTACTGTTATATTACCACATTTTAAATTTTTAAGGTTTCAAGGCATTGATAAACTAATAAAATGGTATTAGCCAACAAGACTTTGAAATCAGTGAACACAGCACAGCTGAGTAATCGGGGGGAAAAAAAGGCTTTTGCAAATTAAATGCATAGAAAATGATGTTGTAACTATTTATTAGGCTATAATTTTAGTCCTGGGAATATGGGACTCATCCCTGTTTTAAGATGAAGTCTATGGTGAGAGTTCTAAAAACTCATTGAGTTGATCTGAGTTTTGATGGACTCAATACATTTTCACAACTCCAGGGGTAAAGTTGAATTAAGTTTTTACATCCCTTTGAAGTGAACCTCATCACTAAACATTAGCTGAACCCATTCTTTCTTTATGATCACCTATCATTGCTCTGCTGGCCATTAAACCCCTCTCCTCAGGCTGTCTTTGGTATAATTAAAATAAAAACAGGCCTCTAGATTTATAAGGTGGGATGGAAGGGAAGGAAACCCCAGCCTGCACCCTAGTTCTCTGTTCTTAGGAGAAGTGGTGCATCACGGCGATAGTTTACCACTGACTTTATCATAAATGATAGTAGGAGTATGATCCATATAGTATCTGTGAAATATAGCTCTAGTGCTATATAGCTCTAGAATGGATGTATGTTTTAATTTTTTTGACCAAATTGCATGTTGTAAAGGGCTTTTCACAGAAAATTACTCACTTGTGTTGAATATTTCTGGCTTCCCTCAATGTAAATATTTGAAGAGCTAGCAGAACAGATCTATTCACTTATTCTGTTTCTCCATACTAATTTTGCAATAAGTAGTAGTAGCTGTGGAGTTCACAGTCTCCTTCACCTCCACATGCTTATTCACAACTGCACTTATTAATATGACACCTGTTCTATCACATCCTTTCACGCCTGTACTTTTGCCTTTCCAGAAGCAGTGTGGAAGGATATGCAGAGTTCAGCACAGATAGCAGTTTTGTCACAGCACCAGAAACCTTCTTAAGTCCAGTTTATACTGTGCAAAGCATAATTTTTTTTTTCTTCCTGGTTCTTTTGTTCACTCGGATGGATGGAAACAATAATTTTGATCATCCAAAAGAGACCTTCCTTATATATTGAAGATCCAGTTAGAGCTAGGTCACTGGCCCCATTGTGTAGTTCTAGCACGGCTCTTCACTTGATTAACTCAACAATCCACTGTGAGCTGAATCTGGGATGAATTATCTATCTGTAGAAGCCCCAGAGTTTCAGAAGCTGCTTGAGTACCATAGGCAGTCTAACTGAGGTTATGTGAGAGCCCCATCCCTGTTAGCCTATCTTACATTCTCCACAGGGTGAATTAGCCTGTCTGAGGCTGTGTTTGCAAGAGCCAAGGAACAAAGGAGTCTTCTTGGCACACTGATGTTCCGATACAGGATGCGTGTGCAGAGACAATTTATGTTCAGTGAGAAAAAGATACTGTAAGAGAATTAGTTCCTTTTCCAAGTTTGCTTTTTAGTAATGCAGCCTTAAGATTTGAGGTTTATCCCAGTGCACAGAGGAGGGTCTATATAAGCATGCTCCATGTTTTATTAGCAGAAAACCTTGGACAGAACATCTTCTCTTCTCCAATTAAAACTGAGGCCTAAACAAGGCCTTATTTCTTTGAAATTTGTTTTTATCTGACTGGCAGGCTTTAATAGTAACTCTTGACAGTACTCCCTATCTTAAAATCACACTGTTTTATTTCAGGCTGCGTGGCAAAAATAATAGGAAAGGACTGCCTGAGGTGAACAATAATCATGCTGTATGAGACAGATTAAGCCAGATTTCAAACACACTGGAAAAGGGCACAAATGTCAGCAGCTATATGTACTGTACAGCATAATGGCAGAAGTTAAGCTATCCATTTCTTTGCATTTCATCTGTGTCCCTAAGCTTAAAGTGAGAACAATTGCTAAAAACCTAGATAAGCTGTGTGCCAATTATCCTGAGCATAATTTTTTAGAGTGAGCTTATCTAGTTTGTCTTACTGTCACTGGAATAATTAATTTATTAACTGCTAGATTAACTTCTGCAAGTGTTGAAAACAAGATCAAGTATTCTAGAACAATTAAGGGTTTTATCTGAGTCAGTGATGCTTGACATGGTACCAGCAAACTAATAAATACTGGGGATAAAATGCAATGCAATTATGAAAAGCCAATTGTTATGAAATACCAATCAAACGTACACAACTGTTTTTATAAAACTACTATAAAACTTATAAACCTGTTTTTTATAAAATACCCTATTACTACATGCCTCAAAATACATAGTATCACAGATTCCTAGCTTAATACCTAGTTTGCTTTTGCAGGAACACCTCAGCATTTCTGAGTAGAAAACAGCCAGGGATCATCAAGTATACTGATAAACAGTCACAGTTCAGATGAAACTTCACAGTTCAAATCTAAGTCAAACTTGCAAGGAAAGCATCATTTCATTAATTGAAAATGTGATTTTATTTGTCATATGTACGTACTTAAAATAATTTACTGTATATATCACTTCACTGTTCAGACTACTATTAGTCTTTTTTCCAAAGCAGAATCCCTCTTCAAAACCTACTCAGTAATTTGAAATCTAAGTATGTTTAAGTAAAATCCATAGTGAAGTGCTTGGTGAATACACAGTGCCTAACTGACATTTTGAAGGGTAAAGTGTTCTGCCAAATCAGAGATGCGAGTTTTCACTCTTCTCCCAGGGAAACTTTTTCTGATGACATTGGTAGGAGCCATTGCAGACCTATTATTTGGAGTACTTTTGTTTCTGTGATCCAAGAAACATAGATGGAGATTTTTTTATATTTTTGTTGATATAGGTATTACGTTTTTAGATAGAGTTGTGCCTGCAAACACAACAAAGAGTGTATATAAATAACCTCTGAATGTGTAAGAGGATTATATTCACCACTGTTTTGTACATCCCATACTCCATGTCAATCCTGTCCTGTTGACAAGCATGGAAGAGAGATTAGGCTATCATTTGTCTTGCCCTCTTTGGGTGTCTTACACTTGAAAGAGTATGCTGAGTATGGAACAGGGAATAACTGCTGAGAACAGTAATACTAAAAGTAGTGGGCATGTGGCAGACAACAGGAAACAACACACACACGTGCCCATCGCATAAACCCAAGTGACAAATCTATCTGGCTATTAAGTATTGTATCTTTTTTAATATACTTTTCAGGAACTTGGAAGTGTATACAGTGTCCTGGCTGCCATTTTAAATGTGGGTAACATTGAATTCTCTGCAGTCGTATCTGAACATATGATTGACAAGAGTAACATTTCAAATCCAGTAGCCCTTGAGAACTGTGAGTGGTTTTTCTTGATTTAAGGTTGTTTTCCTGCAGTGTTTTGCTAGTGAATTCCTTTTATTGTAAGAGAGTTATCAATGGAAACTGTATTCGCATGGAAATTTTGTAAGAATAATTAAATGCTGAAGATAGATTAATTCCAAACCCATCCCAATTTGAACGCAAAAATTACAAATTTTCTATGTTATGCACCTTATTTGAGTAACTAGTTCACTGGCATTCAGGAAACATGACTAATACTGCAGATGCCTATACAGAAAACCTTTGGAATTTTTCCAAGGTTATTTGAACATTTGATGGAGAAGCTCATTAACACGTTAAATAGTTTTTTTCCCAGTTTCTTTCTCAGATTGTTCCACACGTGTTCCTGTTGAAATATGGCTCACTAATTCCTTGGAAGGGATACCTTACATTGTAGGCTGCTGGGAAGCAGAGGAGGGAAAAGAGCAAAGATTCTCAAGAAAGTTACTCTTTCTCATAATTACAGGCAGGGAGATAATGAAATCTTCACGCTATCTTCTTACACATTTTCCTGCCATAGATAGAAAAATATTGTGGAACTGGGAAAAAAGCACCCCTTTTTTGGAGGAGGACAGCAGCAGCTAATATGGATGGATTATAACTGAGAGGGATATTCACACCTCACAACTTCCATACTCCTGACGTAGGCACCTAGATTCCCTAGCATTTCTTTAGAGAAATAACCTCCTTGATAAAGCAATTTAGAACCTAAAGGCCTCTGCTTTGAATTACTTACTCATTGACTGCAGTGGAAACTAGGAAGATTGGTGACTAAATTAAGTACTGGCTGTTGTTTGGCATGAACACCCCCATTAGTCGTGGTTCAAGACTTTGGCTTGGCCCTTATTCATAATACATTGCACTTGCAGCTTTGATTGCAAAAATGCATATTTTTCTTTCCAAAATCTGCCCCTGAGCTATGCCTGTGACCTTCCTTCCTAGGCGCGTCCTTGCTGTGTATTCAGGCAGATGAACTGCAAGAGGCTCTCACCTCTCACTGTGTAGTGACTCGAGGAGAAACAATTATTCGTCCCAACACTGTGGAAAAAGCCACCGATGTCAGAGATGCCATGGCCAAAGCACTGTATGGGCGCCTTTTTAGTTGGATAGTCAATCGCATCAACACGTTACTCAAACCTGACAAACATTTAAGGTAAAAGCAGCTTTTCCAGAATAAAGGAGATTTTCTGTGGGAATAATATCATCTACACTAGAGCATTTAGTGTTCTCATCTACTTTTTCTCTGCTACGTTTTTGTTTATGACACCACCATGTTAAAAAAAGAAGGTTTTATCCTATTCATAGTATGCAGTGAAAATACAGTAGATATGGATAGCACAGGCATCTGGTGTTTTCCTGTTTGACCTTTACTCGTTTGACCTTTACTCATTTAACTCTTCTTAAGTGACATACTAACTACTTTTTGCTTTATACCTTTTCAGGGTCAACTTTTGATATTCATCTGTTGATTACATAGATCAAGTTCTCCTCTTACATGCACTGATGCTGTTGCTTCTGTCGTCATTGTTATGGGCATAGTTTCATATATATGTGAGAGTAGTTTCCAAACACGTTTACAGAGGTCCACCCTACCCTTACAAGGGGACGTTTTAAACACAGAGACAAGAAAGAGATTGGGAATGAGGATATAACACATTTTGCAAATTAATCAAAGAAGAAATTATATGATTTGCATTGTAGATCGTACAGGTTGGGGCCCTCTGTGACTGATAATAACAGTTAAAATGAGCAAACTTACAACTACCTGAAGAGTAATATCAATAGTAAATAGGTTTGGTTTGCAGATCTGGATTTTCTGGATGTTTTAAAAATTTTTTAAACACCAGAGGAAAGCCAAGGCTGCAAAGCTAAAATTTGTCCAAACTTTCAAATATTTGGTTACAGCACAGCAGCAATGAACAGATCTTTAATCAGTAAGTGACAGGATAAAATTCGTGATAGACAAGGCAGCACTGCTAGCCTGTGTGCCTATCTCATGTGCCTGTTACAGAGTCCTTTTCAAATGGAATACTTACTGTGCTGGTGAGGAGGGAGAACGTTCAACCCGAAGTGTTCACTATACAAAAAAACTCCAAAACCAGAAGTCTGCTTTGGTTTTGTGGTAGTAAAGTAATTTGTGTTTGCTATTTTATATATTTGCTAATTTTAATGTAATTAGCTCTGAGAAGGAACGGGGTAAACAAGTTTCAGCAGTCTATTCACCAAAAATGTAATTTCCAGGCAGATAAAATAGTCACCAAATTCAGGTCAAAATCACCAAATACCTTTGATCCCTCCACAATTAAACACTTCTGGTTTTGAGATGGACTTCACAAAGAGGTTCAAGTGCTATTCATTAGTATCTTAAGGCTGGTTCTTCATATCCAATTTCCTAATTTTTTTATTTAAAAAAAAAAAATCAGTAGCCCCTCAAAGGGGTTTTATAGCTGTAATGTGTTTGTTTTTGGTTTTTTTTTTTTTGTTAGCTGGGAGAAGACACTAATGTCAATTTCAATTTGATGTAAAATTATATCCTCTTAATTATTTGTTTTAGCCAATAAATACAGGTATCAGAGCTTTTTTCCAGGTGCAGAAATGATCACGCATCTCTCAGAATGCTTTTGCTAAAAGTTTTACTAGTAGTACCTCTGTGGAACTTAATTGATAATTTAAATTCATACCACACTCCAGTATTTCAAGTAATTATTTAGATGCATAAAAGGTCTAGCTATTCATTCTTTCGACTTTCATGTTAAAGTAAGCAGTTTTAATTGTTGTGAATAAATCATATGAAGAACTAATATTTAATGACAGCAATCTTTAATTTCAAGATGCTGGTGAGTAAAGCCCGTGTTATTACAACAGAAACAAAAAGAACTGTATGTTGTTTCTTTACTGTAGTCAGCTTTTTACAATAGAATAATAACTAGCAAATATTATTTTGAAAATAAAATTGTAAATCTTCTATATGCTTAGCATTGTGTGATTCAGTGTATCTGGTCTGCAAATACAGTCATCTTTGAATTGATATGCATATATTGTATTTCAAACAAAAACTGACGGATATTTTAAGATACCTGTTTTAGCAAAAATTATCTTGTATAACACACACAGGTTTGGCCCATTGGTTAGTTTTGTGAAATAATAAGGAAGCTAGGCAGTGTAAAATAAAGAGCAACAATAGCAAGTTTATTTAATCTTTGCAGTGGAAACGATGATGGTTTGAACATTGGAATTCTTGACATCTTTGGCTTTGAAAATTTCAAAAAAAATTCTTTTGAACAACTCTGTATCAACATTGCCAATGAACAAATTCAGTTCTACTTCAATCAACATGTTTTTGCCTGGGAACAGGTATGTGTGGAATATTTTGATAAAGCTTCAGTATTGCTGAACGTATAAAACCTTGTCTCAGGAAACTGCATTGTTCCTTCTCCATTATAAGTTGTAAATTGCAGACTATAACAAATGTTTTCTGACTGTGTATTCTGTGAAGCAGTGCTTTCTATTTGCAAGTAAAATGCCTACGCAAAATGCATTAAACTTGAAATTTACAGTATCTAAGCAACATAACACAGTGATAATAAGTTTGATGCAAATGAAATGTTGTTTTCTTGAGGTATAACATGAGTGATGTAATGTATGATTCTACAGTAAAAAAATAAATTAGTAGTAACATAATTTTTAAAGTGTGGTGTTCATAATCGCTTGCTAATAAGCTTAATGAACCCTGAAATTCCATTTTTAAAAACTGAAAATCCACAATTATTTTGTTCTTGTTCAGGAACTGGTTCATCTAAGCTAAATAATGATGGATTTAATCTAAAAAATTGTATTTAAAAATTTAGAAAAAAAAGAAATAGGGTTGTAACTGTAAAAATTTATGAAATTGAAGGGCAAAGTGAAAAAAAACAAAAGAGATCAGAGCAACTTTGTAAATAATTCCATGAGAATTAAATTAACCATCTTTAAATCATTATTCAGTATTGTTATGTGAAGAAATAACATGTCTAGGAAAAACCTATTAATCTTGCTGAAAATAGACATATTGCAGAATTCTGTGTGAGTAGAACAATCAAAATTCAAATTTTAGGTGAAATAACACTTTCTCTGTTCTATTGAAATTATTGGAGTTTATGATACATAGATGAAAATCCACCTGAATACTGTTATTAATTATTAGTAGAAAAAGAGTGTTTTGTCAGTGTTAATTACTGCTTGTTTTAAGGATGAGACAGTTACAGGTTTGGAATGAGTCTATGTATGCAGGTGTGTACATGTATGTGTCAGTCTAGAGGTGTATATATCTATGTGTAAAATGGAAATATTTTTTTATCGATCAATGTTTTATCCTGTTTCCAGTTATTTCAAGCAATGCTGTCTTGCAGTCTTAGACCTTGTAGTTGTTTTTATAGATTTATGTAGGAGAATCTCAGTCACAACTATTTCCTTGTCTTCAATACCATCTGCAAGTCAGAAATTAGCCTGACCTGCTATAATTACTTAGACATTTACTGTCTGAAGTGCATAAATTCATACAAAAAGAGCTCGTGGCTACTGCTGTTTCCAACGGCACAGACTGCAGCACCGTTATTCCTGTCAAACCCAGGCACTGACCAGGTCCCGTGGACTTGCATTCATTCATTTTTCAGAAGTGTTCCCTAACTTGATCCTACCCCACCGTGGGTCAGTTTTCCTTGCTCCAGACTTTCCTTCTCATCTTAGGGACCTGGGATTATCAGTAAAAACTGAGGCAAAGGCGGCATCCAGTATCTCAGCCTTTTCCGTATCATCCACAGCTGTTCAGCACCAGGGCCACGTTTTCCCTAGTTGCCTTTTTGCTTGTGGTGAACCTGCCTTGCCTTTCCTAACACTATCCCTCTACACCCAAATATTGTCTTAATATTCCTTCTCTTTTTTAATTAGAGTTGGATCCTGTTCCATGTAATCTGCATTTACCTGTTTCTAGATATCCTAATGCAGACACTTTGCCAGACCTACATTAATGCAGAGGTTTGTGGTGTCACCACCTAGTAGGAGCAGTTTGCTCTCCTGCATGTGCCCTGCTTGCACAGAGGTCAGGGTGGTTATTTTGCTACTGAGCAGATAAGGGAAAAAATGAACTTCTGATTTTGACAACATACAGTCTACCCATTTCTCCCTCTTGGAAATTAGTGTAACAATTAAAGACCCTTATGGAAGTGGGAGGTGATCTTTATTTACAGAATCCCTAAGTATGTCAATTTTACCCACTCCCACTCCTTCTCAGATTTCACTGACTGACACCCACACAGAAAGCACCAGAATGTGTATCTTCAAGTGGTCTGGCCAGGATCATTTCTGAGCAACACACAATAAGGGACACCAGCAAGTCTTCATCATATCTCTTGGGTTCTTCTTGCTGAAATAGTTTTTGAACAGATATTTTACACCCTTTAGCAATCATCAGTTGATACAGGGCGATTCATTACCTCAGAACCTTACTTAATTTTGCCTCCGTAATCTTTAGGCAAGGTCATTATCTCGTTTTGCTTGTTTGGAATATATACATCTTTATGCCTATAGTCTGTTTCCTTGGTGGACTCATAGGGAAAAGGAAGGTGTATGTGAACTTCTAGGAAAAGAAAAGCGTATGTGATGTGCTGTAACCTTGCAGTCATCTTCCTGTTGTCAGATTCAGAGGGTGTTGCCCTCGCTTGCTGTGTTTTTATGTGACTGAAGGCCTTCTGGTCTTGACGTAAACAACACTACCCTCAGTTTTCTTGTGTGAACAAATGTTCTTCATTCAAACCACAGACCATTCTTGTAAGACTCTTCCTTCTGGTGCTTATACACACGTTTCCATTCGTATTTCATTTATACCAATCCTCATACTCTTATTACAGGTGTCCCCATCCTGTAATACTAACAGAGTAAGTTGTCTACTTTAATTTACATGACACCACTACACCAGATTATATCAAACTTCATTATATTATCTTGTAGCACTCTCTAAAGATATTACTACGGCTGTGCAGAATGAGCTGTATAGATTAAGTTTGTGCAAGTGTGGGTGGCTCTTTCAGAGGCAGGAAATGATAAGTGTATTATTCGGCATTACAGCCCCATTGCATGGGATCATTTGCAGTATGATTCATAGTCATTGTAAGACATCACTTTTCACTTATTTATACCATGATTGTTCCAGTTTTACATGACAATAACAGTCTTCAAGAAAGCAGGTGGCTTTAGAACCTTTTCTGTTCACTCTAAGGACTCTCCTGTGTTAACACCAGTAATGTACTTTAATTGTAAATACAGACCCTTCCTGCGGAAAAAAGTTATTTACAGAAAAATATAAAATATAATTACTAAATTTTCTATACATGGAAAGAAAAGGAAATATTTTCAAAATCATGTGACTGAAGTTGTTCTTGTTAATGATACAAAGTATCACTTATGTAAAAGCCAAACAATAGGATGACACCTGCCCTTCGTTGATGTGTCTGCCTGACTTTACACACATGTAAGGTTTGTGTCTTTAATACTACAGAAGACAGGATGTATGTTTAGAAAGCTCCTACAGCTGTCACTGTGCTAGCAGTCACTGAGACCTTTGTGTTGACTTTTCATTAGCCCAAGCTGTCATGCTGATGCAGCTATCCTGTTGCTGGGGTCCCAGGCTGGTACCTCTCCACAGCCCTGTGCCATGTCAGACATGTCACTTTGCTCTATGCTATCTCAGAAATCTCTAACACAACACTGCATTGCATCCTCTAGGTCTACTCAAGGAAGACTGCAGAATTTAATTTCTTTCACACTTTTCTAAAGAGAAGTAAAATTATAGGTATATAATTTCTTCATTTTTTTCCCTGTTTTGACCCCTGTTCAATTCCATACTACATTCAATTAGATAAAATGTGACATATCTAGTGGGAGGTCAAGGCCTAAGTAATTTGGTTTTAGTGTAGTTCTCAATTAAACTATGTCAACCTAATAAGTAATAATTGTATAACTGGGGAAGGTGAATAATTTTTTGGCAACCTGAGGAATGAAGCCAAATAGTAAATGCACTCATAAGGCTGAATTGTACTTTCAGTGTTGCAGATGACAGAATCACAGAATGGTTTGGGTTGGAAGGGACCTTAAAGACCATCTAATTCCAACCCCCCTGCCATGGGCACAGACACCCTCCACTAGACCAGGTTGCTCCAAGCCTCATCCAGCCTGGCCTTGAACACTTCCAGGGATGGGGCATCCACAGCTTCTCTGGGCAACCTGTTCCAGTGCCTCAGCACTCTCACTGACATGTTTTTAGCAGTCAGTGGTTTAATTTCTGTGTGTGAATCTGAAAAGTGTTCACAATTTTGCTTTCCTTGGAAGTGTGGCCTACAAAAATGTCCTCAGAAGTGTTAGGAGTAGTGGGAAGGAACAATGGTACTACGACCACCCAAGGCGCAGGGCGTCTGCTAGAGCAGAGTGTCTGCATGCCAACATGGAGAACTCAAGTCAAAATTAAAGGAGGTTATTCTTTATTGTTGAATTAATATTTGCATTTGAAAATAAAGGCTTTTAGGCCTGAAAGCAACCTCTGTTCCCTAATTTGACAGAAAGGCTGAAATGGGAGGATAGTTTAAAATAAAGATAGCTTAGATTCCTTATAGTCAGTGGAGACAAATACATATATCTGTCTCCACTGACTATGGAGGAAATATGGGCTCTCAACCTAATAATTTCTTTTAGATGTCTATAATTAAGTGGAATGAATGCTGGAACATGCTTTTTTTAGGTTAATATTAAGCAAAGCACAACTTTACACCTGCAGCTCTGTCCTTCAAGGTGTTTCCCTTACACGTAAGGTACTGATGTAAGTTAATTCTGTCAGCTCCATGACCTGCAGGTAACATTGGCCAGCAAGACAACCTTCCCATTTCTTTCTCATTTGTGATTCTTCTGCAAAAAGTAAAAGGTATAATGTCAGATGCCTAAAACATTTTGGAAAGTGTCAAGTTTCCTGTCAGTTAGAAGGATGCTACTTTTTGCATTAAACGTATGCAATATTTATTTTACATTTGTATGACAATTACTTTAAGCTGGAAAAGTCTCTGGTGTTCCCATTTAAACCAAAGCATCATCATACTGTGTTCCCAGCAAAATGCCTTTTTTTTTTTTATTAAACATGACCATTTCCTAATGCATTTAATAATTATTTTGTTATTAAGTGAAACCAGGTTGTTGAACAAGCTAATATTACCTAGTTTTGATAATAGAAAAATATATCATGCAATACTGAGCTGAGATAGGAGCCCAAGTATTAGTGTAACTCAGTCATTCCTTTTGACATCCCATCCAGAGGAATACTCTCTAATGGATTATGCTTTAGAATTTCAATGAGCAGCTGCTATTTTAAGGAACTTTCTTGTCATAAAACATCATGAGGGATTACACAATCCTGTAGCTGATTCATCTTATTAATTCAAATAAGATCTATTTCATTACAGGTTTATGATGTGCATCTTTAAGGCTTTTATCCTTGCTTCTTGTATTCTAGTGATATATTTGAAGACCAGCATTGCATAACAAAATGTAATATGGTATCTTCTTTCTGAGCCATCTGTCACTCTGGTGCCTGGAAGACTTGGTTATCAGCCATTCTCCAGGATCCCATGGGAAGTGATGAAGTGAGCTCCTTCCATATCCTACTGGGCAGACAGCAGCATTACCAAACCCTCAACATTAACACTCATTCCGCTGTTGAGGTGCAGACACAAAAGGCTGACTGGTCACGTACGCTGCTGGCTTGGAGTTCAGGCCCATTCACTGGCCGTGCAGGGAGGGGATGCTGCTGTTACAGTGTAGTAGTACAGCTATTACAGACTTCCTTTCAGTTTTGAGAAGTCTTTTATCAGCTCTCTAAACTAGCCTCTCTCACAAGCATTTGAAGCTGGAGAAAAGTTAGATAGGTTGTCTGTGAGAGCTTGTTTGAGGATGTCACAGAAACCCTCTTCTCTGATAGATTCATCCTGAGCAATCTCTTTCCTTTTCCCCCTTGATAAGTGTACTCTTGATAATCCTAAGCAGTAACAGCTGGTTTCGTGAACAAAACATCTGTGTGTCGGTGCAGCCGTAGCCCTCGGGTAAGCTGCCCCTACTCTGCTGTTATCTTGGCAAGATAACACAGAGTCATTCCCTTCCTGCCACTAGCTCCTACAGGTATATAATTAACTTCTTGCCTATATCAGTGATACATTTATTACTCTCCTGTCTTGTCCTGCTACTCAGGTCATTGATTAAAATAAAAAGCAAAACTCCACCTGTCCACAGCTGTGGGGGAGACATGAACAAAGTTAATGTTACATGTCTGAGATGAGGAGCCCTCATGGAGCTGTAGGAGAGATTTTTGCTGCTTACGCCCTTGTATGGGCATATAAACTGAGCCATAACCTAACGGAGTAAAGTGTGTCCTGGGAAGTTAGGGCAATCTGGATATTGGAAGGGTTTAGGTATACATTCTGTGTTCTCTTTCAAATGGATCAGCAGATTTATTTATTTGAGCCTCTATTTCCAGGATAGTGTTACTGATTTTGCACATTTTGCAGTTTCTCTCTAGCTTAGAGATTGAGAGTTTTGAAGTCTAATAACATGTGCCTTTCTATTGTATATGGCAGTTAGCTCCTTTTCTAAACGCTCAATATATTGCCTTCTTCACTCATTCAGGCTCGAATGACACATAAAGAGAGGTCTTTCAGGGTTAGAGGTCCTTGAACTCGTTAATATTAGCCATCATTCATGTTTATGACACTCTTCTCACAATGAATTCCAGATAGCACAACTGTGATTTTAACACCATACATTAATGCAACACTTTCTGTAAAGTTCTGTCCTTTGGAAGAGGGATGATTTTTAAAGTCGATCAAAGGGCTTAATTATATGTTTCATAGTACAGCCTGCACAGGACTGAAGGCAGCCCTTCAGTGCTGGTCCTACAGGACCACTGTGCAGTGATTAACTGCTGTTGCATTACGTAATGCAGAAGAAAATAATGGAGGGGTAGCAATCCCTAGAGCATCCTTCTCTTGATAAATCTACGACTGTCCTCTGCCTTGCTGAAAGATTAAATAAAGTAATTATTGTATTTTTCAGCTATTATTTAAATTCTTTTCAAGGTAAAACCGTTGCACCATACTGTGGACACAGCATTTGTTATCAGGTTTTTCCAGTCTGGTAGGGATCCAAAGGTATTTACGGTCTTCAGGAGGGGGAAAAAAAAAAAAAATAGAAAAATCCCCACCAGCTTTTCTACTGTTTTTTAATCTTGCTGAATACCTTGTTCCTTAAAAGGAATGAAAATGTTGTAGAGGCCAACCTGAGACAATTTATTTAATTTTTAGCAAGTATGTACCCCATTTTTAATTACTTGAAAGTGTGTGCACCATTTTTCTCTGCATATGAACATTTTGCAGGTATTTGAGGAGAGGGATCAAACAAATGAGTCCTCTGTAATCTGTACTCACTTTTGTAAATCTTGGTCACTACATGTCACATAGAGCTGAGCAATGAATTTGAATGTAAATGTATCTTAAGATTAAGAAATATCTTTTACTTTGCAGACCAGGAGGTAAATAGACACTGAGGTCTCCATCTGCAAATAGTATACTTCATCTTCTTCAACTCTGTTTCTTTAAATCTTGCATGTTCCTGGAAAACATCCTACTTTACCAAATATGCCATAGGAAACACATATCCAAAGGCAAATCAAAATCTATTGCCTGTCAGTGTGATACATCCCAACTGACATTTGTTCCTGCAAAACCTTGATGTTTTTAGCCCCAGGGCATACTTTTTCAATGTAGTTTTAATTTGCTACACTTGACAGTTTGTGAATTGTTTTCCAAAGTGGTTCTGTGTACATAGACAAAACAGGCCTTCCGTTGCTTGTTACAGAATGAATACCTATATGAAGGTGTTGATGCAAGAGTTATAGAATATGAGGACAACAGGCCCCTCTTAGATATGTTCCTGCAGAAACCAATGGGATTGTTGTCCCTGCTGGATGAGGAGAGTCGATTCCCACAAGCAACAGATCAGACACTTGTAGGTAAGTATATGGTTTGTTCCATATTTTATCAGGATGTCAGATTTCTGTTTGGCATGTCCAGTTTAGGCTGTATGCTAGTTATGTTTGTTCTCAGTGAGCCCACATTCCAGTGTCACAGTATGTTTGAGGGAAGCATGCATGCAGCAGTGGATGCATCTTTGAAGCTGATAGAGAAGCATCGAGAGTACAAATGAACCTAAGCTGCTGATCCAGGTTTTGAATTCTCCTGCTGTCAGGAATTTTTAGCTGCAGGGCTTGAAAGATAAAGATCAAACTGAGTTAAAACTCTTGGTTCATATGCCAAGAACACTGTTTTCAAACTTGAGTCATGTTCAGCTCTGAGTTTTTAGATGGGCTGTAATCAGAACAAGAATTTTAGTACTTTTTAAGGGTACTGGCTGCAAACCTGCCTCCTTTTTTTTCTATTCAGAAATTAAAATCAACACCTAAATATGTTGTAATTTAAATCCTGAATATTTCAGTGCTGCTGAGTAGTTGCAGTTACAGTTGATTTAGTTATTTCAGTGGGGTTTCTGTACGGATGAATCCTTGTTTTACTCATTTTTGAATGTGCAAACTGTCAGATGAGAGTTTTAACCAACACCCAATTGCAAAACCTAATAATATCCAGTAATGATGCCCATGCTAAAGCAATTGTATGAGCTTGTTGTCTTTCTATCCTCATACTATTTAGTCTACGGTGCAGAGGCTCTCAATGAATTGGCAAATGTTTCCTCACAATTCCCTAGGGAATCCTTAGGGAGGATTACTACATTGTTTCATATATGAAGATCAAAAGCTTAGAAAGGCAAGTGATTTTCTGAGGTCACACAGAAAATAATTGGTACAAAGTAAGTAACTGATCCAAGAGCTCCCATATCTTTATCCAGTGCATTTTGTTACAAGACCATTATGGTATCTTTGTCCTTAAAAACATCAGAGTTTTGTTTGTGCCTCTACATTGTCTGAGAAGTCAGGCAATATCCTTATAGGGTTACCACATTGGAAGACAATTACTGTACAGTAACTCCAGTAAGATAAGGTATGTGTTTCCTTTCAGAAAAATTTGAAGATAATTTGAAGTCAAAATATTTTTGGAGACCCAAAAGAGTAGATCTAACCTTTGGGATTTATCATTATGCAGGAAAGGTAAGAGACCTAATGATATTAGTTGGGGATTGTGGAATGGTAGGGCTGGAAGAAATAGAAGAGGTCAGCTGGGTTGGTTCTCAACCTTCATCTCTTCAGACCTGGCAGGGAAATGTTGGCAGTGCCTTACACATCAAAAGTAAATTGAAAAGTGACTTTTCCTCATTAAAAAAAAAAAAAAGGCAACATCAGGAGTTATTTTTCTTAAATGTCACCAGGTAAATGAGCTGACTGTATTATAGAAGAACTGAAACATAACCATTACATAATGCAGCTCAGTGCTCTTCCCCTTAGTTCCTCCAAGTCTTGTGCCATACATGTTCCCGCTGCTTCAAATCAGGATCCAGCTTCATTCTTCCTACTGCCTCTTACACCCCATCAAACTTAAATAGTTCTGTACTTTGTCATCAGCCAGATAGTGCAGGCCTTGCTTTCTGCTCCATTTGATGAGCAGCATCTTGCCCTCCTTTACAAGGTGACTTGCTGCACGTACCTTTCAAACTCAGGAGTTGCTGATGCACTGCAGCAAGATGCCCCTGGTCACCCAGAGCTTGCCTTGTGAAAGCAGGAGCTCCCACCTCCTTTTGAGCTCTTTTAAAGGGTAGGGAGTGGGCACTGCTGTCTCACACAGGAAACTATATTGAGTCTGTGCAGTGCTGGAGCAGGTGGCCTGGAAAGAGGCAACACACTGCCCATCAGCCAATGCAAAAATAGCTTGTGCCTTGTGTAAGACAGCCAGCTACAAAAGGCCTGCAGTAAATCCTCTTCTGCTGAATTACACTTCACCAGCATAGTGTATCTTACTGCTGAGGAGCAGAGAGCCAGCTCTCCCCATACATTCCAACCACTGAAGATGCGGATTCCACCAGCGCCCCATCTGCCCTTTCCAGTGTTCCGCAAGTTTTTTTGTTAGAAACTTTCTCCCACTGCCTTATATCTTCATTGCCGTGATATGAGTATATTACTCCTAGTCCTGTTTACAGGGGAACTGAAGAACAATTTATTTCCCCTTCCTTTACAACTTTTTTTGTAATTTATGACTTACTGGATGGTTTTGTGAGTTTTTTTTCTAAGTTAAATATGGCAGCCCCTTCTACCCTTCTTCACAGGTCAGGTTTCCTTATAGATCCTCTACAGCATCGTTGAGATAGAGCCTTGGAGGTACATTTTGAGTTAGGTACACCATTCCTGGAATTTTTAGAGATTTCAATTGCCAATATGCAGGTTGTGATTTTGCAAAATTCCTCTGCAGTTAATACTGAGATCTCTAGGAAGAGTGTAAAGTCCTGGGTCCAGTACAGCACGATATGAATGGGACAAAAAGACTGTACTGTCATATGGGTAATCTTGTATGATCTGTTTGAAATCAAGTGCATTGTTAATTGTGCATTTGCATATGTTGAGGAGGACCACAATACAATTGTCCTAGTGATAAATCCACACTGGCTAAAACTAATATTAACATATCTGCATTAGGGAGAATGAATGTCTCAAGCTACTTTAGAATGATGGATTTGCTTTTAGTGATCTGCATCATAATGGTTCTCAGTATTGAAAAGTTAGAACTTACCAGTGATCGAAAGACAGTACGCAAGAGCAAGCTTGATGGCTGATAAACTATTCGTGTATCTTGGTACATTAAAAGCCACATGCCAGAGTGCTTAAATTTCAGTTACTTTTCAAAAGCCTGGAAGATGCATAAATGCATTTTTTAAACAGGTTCTATATAATGCAAGTGGATTCCTAGCCAAAAATAGAGATACTCTGCCAGCTGATATTGTGCTGCTACTGCGATCATCTGAAAACAATCTGACACGACAGTTGGTAACCCATCCTCTTACAAAAACAGGTATTGTTACTGTGGTAATCTTATTCTTTTCTAGCCTTCGTGATGACCACTGCTAGGTTTCATATGACCATTTGTTGATGACATCATACACTTTGTGGCTTAACTTTCCAACCCTAGAATCTATACAGAATGGAGCCCCAGCCACCTCAAGCTGCAGGGGAGGGAATGGTCTGGTCAAGTGCCAAGAAAGTGGTAGAGGCTTCTTTCAGGGTCCTCTCTTCAGGGTAGGGGAACAAGACAGGGAGTGGAGTGCATCCTTTGAGCTGAGGACTGAACAGAAAGGATCAGGTAAGTCACTGGCCTTTTTTGGACAGGGCATATATAAATTGCCTGTTCTGTTGCAGTGCAGTTTTTCTCTGAAGTAGTAGAGAACCAAGGTTGGAGCTCCTAACATCTGCTGCAAATTGTGAGGAGACAGCCCTTTATTCCCCTAGTGTTTTAGTCCTTTACAGTAGGTAACTGTTGGGGTCCTAGTAGTGAGCGCTTCCTTGGGGAGTTCATAAGTTGGGGTGGAGGAATATGACTGGCTCTAAAGAAATTACCTCTAAGTTGCACCTTAGCTGAACCAGGTCCTTGCACAGTGTTCCACCTGCCATTTTAGGATGATGGCTAAGTCTCCTTACAACCAATTTGCTATTGTGTTGTATTACTCCCTGTGTGATGACGTTGATGCCATACAGTAAATAATTTACAACATTACTTTCCTTTATAACTACGTGGGAGATGTACTTGTAGTAGAACAGAAAAGCTAAATTGGAAGAGCCTAATGGAAATTTCTCGAAAATGTTATCGTAGCTTACAGAAACTGAGTTTTTGGCAAGGCTCCTATTCTTCACAAAGGGAGTTTTGCTGATGGAATGCAAAATTTGGTCTTGCAGGTCTATTTTAAGTCAGTTTTCCTGGGAAAACACTGATCTCAATGTCCTTGCCTGAACATTTTCACTTGTTGATATCTGCTAAGATACTAAACTGTAATTTCTGTAGAGCCAATGTCAGGGCACAAATGGTCCCAAGAACTGATCCCAAGGCTTATGTAATGTTTTGAATGATAACTTTGAAGGTTCTTTTAGTTGTCTTGTTAAATACTATGAAACACTGTGAGTGGCCTTTTGAAAATTACCCGAACCATCAACCTATAGCCAAGTAAAAGTTGATCTGATCTAACTTATTCATCTAGAATCAGTGGAAATGTAGAGGTTTACCCAGAGCCCAACCCATCTTGCCTACCTCAAGTGCTTCTCTTGGGATGGGATAAATCTCCTCTGAAGCTGCCTCTCTCCCCTGAATACAGTGGTGATCCTGTAGACACCTCACTTTCAGATAGCTAAGGTTAGGTGTGAGTAATCCTCTCTCTTTCCTTCCCACCCTGTGATGTGCAGCTAACCCCATGAGAGGTTTAGCACTTGATATCATCACATAATACATGACGCATTAGCTCGGCAGGCCGTATATTTGCAGCTATTTATCCAACTCTTACCCACTTCTTGCTGATAGTAGCTAAGCACAGAGAGATTACAGGCTCTCCCAGTGGAGACTGAGATTCCAGAGGTGTTATGTTACTGTCAGAAGCAATGGCAGCATGCAGCAGTGGCTGGAGTTTATCAACACAGAGTGACATGATGGAAAGCTCAGCAGAATTTTCATTATTCCTTTATAAAACCAGTGTCTGTGTAAACCACTCCAATGTACCTAGTCCTTCAAGTCATCATAATAAAGGTATCACTTGATTAAGAATTCTAAGGCTAAGGTCTTAAGACCATGTCAATGCTAGTAAACCAAACAGGGCCAGTGAAGAGTAGCTGAAACACTCCCACAAGGTGGCCCATTCTGATTAATTGTTAGCATGCCTCCCTGGAACAGATTTGGACCATGTCAGCTAGCAGTCTCCCAGAAATACCCAGTCACACTTCAAGAGAAAGCACAGGCCAGCGATGGTTTCTAACAAGCTCTGTGGTACAATACAACCTTATTTTTACCAGAAGGTTGATAGACTAGTGAAGTGTAGAGTTTAGCTGTATAGACTTGAATTATGCCACGCCACTTGCCCTCAGGGCCAGAGAGAGATGCTAGCACTTTTTTTTTTTTTAACTAATATATTATAACTAGAATAGTGCAATTACATCTTTAGAGTAAAACCACATGGATGCTCCCAGATGTATCTTATCTTTCTGCAGCAGTCTTTTAATTTTTTTGCTCTAGTAGGTGACATAAGCGCTAAAGAATGAAAAATCAGCCCATGTTCTATCTTCGTGCAACTTCAGAGCTTGTTCCATCCCAGGGGTGAAAGGGGAAATGAGGACTTACTCCGAAAAAGTCAATGACATTTATAACCACATGGTTGCACTGGGGGCATGAATGAGGTGGTTCGGCATAGTTTTCAGGTTGAGATGTAAGCATTTTGGTAGGTTGCTTTCTTTCGTCTTCCTATAGGTAACTTGGCACACACTAAAAGCAAAACTACAATCAGTTACCAAATGTGGACCCCCCAGAAATCAATCAGTCATACAAAGGTAAGAAAATGTATTTTGTGATTCTGCATTGAACCCTAATTTAAACTAGAAAGGCAATTCTGTTATCAGTACTAAAAGTAAGCAAGTAACCCCTTCCTTGGTTTTTCTCCCTCTCCTATTTTCTTTTCTGTTTAGCTGGATATCTTTGTGTTGTGCAATTCATATTCCTTCCGTGAGGTAAAAACCTAACCTTCTTTCTGGCTATCGTTTTATAACAACTTCAGGGAAAAAAATATATCTCCTAGCTGTATTGTAGCAAAAAGAGAAATTAAAATATTGGTGTGGAGAATAATGAAGTTCCTTGGAGAACTACCAAAATAACAGTGACGATGAAATAACTGACAGGACTTCAGACTTTGTCAGGTTATTTGTGGCAGTTATTTAGATGCTCCATTATCAAACTGTGTCCTCTGTCTGTGAACGTTTGTGTATTGCGTAGCAAAGTAATGTAATGTACTGGTGTAACTGATTTGTGCTAGTGATCATGCTGTAACTTTTTCTGTTTAGAATACTTCTTTTTTAATTAATTATGTTCTCTGAGGGGTGCTTTTTTGTGGCATTGGAAAGGGCACTACAGGCACAACAGAGATAAGTATCACTTTCTTTCTTCGTCTTTATAGAATGAAGCAGGAGATACTGGACATCATCCAAGAGAGACAACCAGTATGAAAACACAGACAGTCGCTTCTTATTTTAGAGTAAGATATCAGATCTTTTAATAAATTTTTATAGAGTAGAATGAATGTTAATTCTTTCACCTTTTGAAATGCACCTGTTGACTTAGAGTCAACATTTAGACTGCTGCATATATGGTGCAGGTGTCTGTGTAGTACCAATATCTAGAGGAGCTTGTTTCATCTTTAATTGCACTTGATTACACAGCCACATTTCTGTCATGATGATATATGATGATATTAATCTTTCACTTGCTTGTTTTTCCACCAAGAGAGATAAAGGGATGTTGGACATCAGTGTTATAGCATTTCTTTAAGAGTTTAAGAAGCAAGAGGGCAAAGTTAATTTGAAGCAGGAGCTCCAGAGAAAGATCTTGATGATCACTGCTCAGAGGCTGTCCTGAATCCATCCTTGCTGCTCCTTCAGCAGTGTCCTTGACCTTCCCAAGCACTAGCTGTGCTGCTAGTCATGCAATAGAAAATGCCTGTGAAGAGTATTTTTAGCTCCAAAGTGGTGCACAGAGTTGGTTCACTTGGGCTCAGCTCTGAATTTCCAACTGTTATTTGGTCATCTCTCCCAAAAAAACATAAAGGTGTCTGAGGTGATGTTCACAACCCATAAGAGTTCATTTACATCTATGATAGAGAACAGTAAGGAGAGACATCTCTGTTTAGTAGATACGGTTGCACAACTCTGTGGACTGTGAAGGACAATTTCAGCCTAGATACCATGGTGGTCCAAAGCTGCATGGTGTTTTAAAGATGGAAAAAATTACTGAATCTCATTCAAATCTAATGTCTGTGATTCAGTGCATTACCAACACATCTAGCATCAGAATTTGCAAATGAGTTATTTACACTTTTCTGTTATTATATTCTGCAGTGGAAATCCCTGTTCAGATCACGCTAGCTAATGCTCTTAAATGGAGATTCAGCTTCAGCGCCACTGGTTTACTCATACGCAGATATCTACGGGTGATTGAGAAAAGCATATGCCACCTCAGACTGAGTGGGGAGAAAAAATATCCATTAGCGTGTCCTACTTGTTTGTGTTCAATTGGCACACTAGTGATGTAGCTAATTAAGCACTTCGCTGCATGGTGCAGCGTCTGTCCAGAATGGAATTGCACATTTTAATAGGAAGCATATGGCTCTTGATGTCCTACGCTAGTTTCATCCAAACTACTGCTGAACTGCATTACCTCCTGGCTGCCTCTTTCAGTTGAGTCAGGTTGAATCTTGAGGAATGAGCGTCTTCGTGTTTTAATAAGATCCTCCCATGAAGCAATTTTACAGAACAGCAGTCAAGGTTGTTTACAGCCAGATTCACCTCAGTTGGCATGGGGAGCTACTAACTGCATCCCCTCTGCTAGCCTGTTACCCTGGTGAGGTGGGAAAAGTGCAACTTTGTAATTGTGATTTTGTGTACTTCTAAATTTGCCCTCCTCAAAAATTTCCTCTTGGCAGGGCAGCTGTAGGAGCACCATCAGTCTGTACAATGAACAGGACATGCTAGATCAAAGCAGTTGAAGCAGCCTCTCCTCTGGGCTGGCCATAGTTTCCTCCAGTCTGATGAAGGGATGGAAATATTTCCTGGCTTGCTGCTCTTCCACTTCCCATCCGTAGACAGACAGTTTACGGTCTGGGGTATAAGGGTGTTCAGATAGGTGACAACAGAAAAAAGTGGACTGTAATTACCTAATGAGGCTCCAAGAGAAGCAAATAAGTGTATGGAGAGTTTCTATCGTATGTTAGACATTGTGAGAATGTTCTGGGTGGGATTTGGTATGTCCATTTGGAATCAGTTTCTCTCAAGTAGTACACACTAGTAACTTAGAGATTTTATTGAAGCTAGGACTGTTGTTGGGTCATTTACTTCATCTGCCATTAAAGTACCAGCTTACTGAAATGTAAAGGGGTTTGAACATGATTCGGATCATAGAAAATAAAATTTCCGCTACGCATGGACGTATATACGAGTTTTATAAATATCTTGGTGGCAGATATCTTGTTATTTTCTTGCAGTATTCTCTGATGGATTTGTTATCCAAAATGGTCGTCGGCCAGCCTCATTTTGTCAGGTGCATCAAGCCAAACAACGACCGGCAGGCAAACAAGTTTGATAAAGAAAAGGTGTTGGTTCAGTTGCGTTACACGGGAATTCTGGAGACAGCAAGAATTCGAAGACAGGGTTATTCACACCGTATACTGTTCGCTAACTTCATAAAACGGTAATATTGATGTGAAGAAACCACCTTCTCTCCTATCATTGATCCCCGGTGTCTGCTAAGCATCAGCAGTGTCTTTGGCACGGTCATTATAGAAAAAAATACGAAGACATTTCCTGTGACAAAGAAAATTACAGACTGCATGACAATGAGTAGTTCAGGCACAAGATTAGTGACAAGTTCTGGCTTGGTAGGGGAAGATGATGCATCTCAGGATGATTGTTTCAGGCTCCCTGCACATTTGGGTAAAAACTGTCTTGATTATAATCTGCAGATATTCTTCAAAGACTTGAAGTTTAGAAGTTTAATGCTTCAAACTAAAGCCAAGAATTTGGAGCAATAGCATCTAAGGAGCACCACAATTTCTCCTGCCCCTGACGTTCAGCTCTGTGCAGCATCTGCTTGTGCAGGGTGGATAATAGTTTGGTATTGCTAATCTAGGTCTGAAAAGTTTATGTGGTGCATAGTTTTGTTTAAAATATAATTTCTAAGTATTAGTCACTTGTTAAGAAAAGTAACGAACTCACTATGATTTTATAATTCCTTTAACTATCCCTTCATCCTCTGCCCCCAAAAAATTAATCCTGAGCACTTAATCTGTACTTCTCTCTTACGAATAAGGACCCTGCATATTTGCCTCGGTTAAAAATGAGATTTGTGGGGTGGAGATCAAAACTGGGAAGAAGCAAGCAACACCCATTCAGACAGAAGCACTTAAAAAATAATGGTGCACTAGAAACAGAGCACTGGCAGCAGCGTGCTGCAGGTGCACAAGGAGGGAGAGGAAGGACAAAGTGATGTTTCTATAGCACTGTTTCTGGAAAGAGTAATCCTGGACCTACTGCTCTTCTGGAAGAGTGTAGCATAGGAAAAGGTAGTTATTACTGCACTGAGATGTGCTGTGACTTTTGGTCACTGCTTTTTATTAAAACTTTCCCTGATCAGGTAAAAGAGAGGAAAGCAGTGAACATAACAGAGTAGCTCTCTGCAGAGCAGGCCCCTGATTGCAGTGAGGTGCTGCAGGTCTCCAGCACTGCGGATATGGCCCCCAAACTAAAAGGGATTTTTAAAGTATCTATCTCCTTGCCTTTTAGTTTATTTAATAGTTGAGAGTTACAGATAGACCTGGAAAAATGGAAAAATTGTTTTTTTTAGAATAAAAATAAACTAGTTCATTGTGTACTAAAAAGAAAAAAAAGGAGCTATAGGAATTGGTGATAATGCAGGAATCAACATTGTCTCTTGTTTTATTATTCCATGAGGAAATTGGTACTATTATTTAAAGCTGTTACAAACCAAGCTTTGTGTCTAAAGGCTCAATAACAAGAAAAAAGCAGAATGTACTCTCAGGAAGCACATATAATTAATGTAATTTTCCTGAATTAAAAGAACCAAGATAGGTATGGTTCATTTTGTTCTGGAGCATTTTGGAAAGCCCTGGAACATATGAGAACTTTCCTACCCAGCAGCTGAGCATACCTCTTTTACCAGTCAAAATAATTCTGAGTAATGAGATTGTCAGATTAAATGCTTACATACATGTCATGTCATAATTGCACATGTATGTTCCAAAAGGATCTGCAAAGCTGAATCCAAGGAGGTAGCAAGAGCTGGGATGTATTTCACATCATGTTAACTGTCTCAAAGGTAGATGGTCTAGCCATTGAGATCAGATATGACATTTTCATGAGATTTCTAGCTATGGAATAAGCTAATTTAGGCAGAAAACCTTTAAAAATATTCTTATTTTGCCGCTGAACCCCCTTTCACAGAATACAGAGAGCCAGAGCAGCAAAGAACTGATGCACAACTCTGCTTAGGTTGTACACTTTTTAAAAGTCTTCTGGTGTTGATATAGAATTAAACAACCCTCTAGGCTGTGCAGTATGTCACTAATCCACTTTTGATTGAGTTTTTCAGTACTGCATGTAAATCACAGCAATTTCTTTCTTATGCTGTTTTGGGTTTTTTTCAGTGCTATGTTTTCTTTCTTGCAACAGTTTTTATTGTTTGAATGAATTGTTTAAATGTATTTGCATCTATTGCTTGCTATTAATGGAATAAAGAACCATATATTTGTCTTTAGGTATTACCTCATCTGTTACAAAACAAATGATGACCCTCCAGTCAGCCCGGAAACCTGTGCTGCCATCTTGGAAAAAGCCCACCTTGACAACTGGGTTCTTGGAAAAACTAAAGTAATTTTTTTAACGTACTATATCTGCATTATTGCAGTATGTTATTGTTAACTTAATAAGCAGTTTGTTTGCTCACCCATTTGGCTGGGGTAGCTCATGGTCTCTATTGGTTTAAACCAAACACCCTTTGCTGGGTGCTGTTCCCTGATACCTGGATGACCCTGTCAAGTGTTAAAATTCTGATCAGTTTTAGTGAGGCCACAGTGCAAAACAGTATGTGACAACAACACTGCTTGTCTTTTCTTTCAAAAAATGTGGTAGTAAGGATGCCAGTGAGCTTAGTCCAAGCTTTATTAAGGAAAAGAAGTTATACTTCTTCCCTGCAGCAATCAGACTCACAAAGGGAGAGGAAAAGGTTTTGGCTTTCGAGCCTGAGGCCTCTGTGGCGGACTTCACTGAGCACTGGAGGAATTGCCACTAGTCTTCCTAGTGTGCCAGGGAGGGACACCCACCCAGCCTCAGTTGACACATCTTGGGAAGTCTGCCAAAAAGAAGCATCAGACAGTTACTGCACCAAGTCTTTCTGTATGTTAATATAACAGAAGGATATGGATAAAGAGATGGACCCTAAACTCTTTGAAATCACCTCAGTGTAGAAGAAACAACTGTTCTTCTGAGACATCTTCCTGGGTAGGTGGGATAGAAGCCATGAAGTTACCTCCTCCTCAACCTTTATTTTGCTCTGCTGTCGAGGCGAATGGACAACATGCAGCCAAAGAAAGCATATCTTGAGATGTGAGATCTATAGCTTACGTTTACATTCATTAGGGTTAACCTGTATCTGTACCAACATGTGATTAAGGATCAGGGGAATTCTGCAAAATAAGCATAATTGTTATCTCAATTGCACAAGCTCTTTCTACATATTTTATGTTACCCTAATATACAACATGAATGTGTTTGTATCCCTTGTGCTAGACTAGTTTGTCAGGCATTATATGAGGTTCATGCTTGATAAAAGCAATTTAGAAAATAAACAATGCCTTAGATTTCAAATAGGAAAGCAGAGAGTTTGAAGGTTTCAGGTTTGATTCACATTTATGTAACGTACATCAGATTTGTGAGGTTAGCAAAACTGTCAGCCTCATAGTTTGAAAACAGATTTATAGTTACAGACTGAAGTTTTGCACTGTGACTTTAAAACATCTTCCCATGAAAGCATGAATAAGCAGAGACTGTCAAAAGATGTTGAAGGGGAGAATAAGCTAACCTAATACCCCAAACAATCAAAATACCATCTTTAACAAGAATGATCCTTTAGGTACTACAGCAAAAGAGTCTGTTCATCATTTGAAACCAGCTTGTAACTCTTGTTGATGTTAAATGCATTGAGAGAATACAGGGCCTGGGAGGGTAACTCTAATTGTGCTTGTCTGCCTCCTCTTTTTAAGGTGTTCCTCAAATACTATCATGTGGAGCAGCTCAATTTAATGCGGAAGGAGACAGTTGACATGATTATTTTGATTCAAGCTTGTGTCAGAGGGTGGCTGGGTTCAAGGAGATACAAAAAGATAAAGGAACAAAGGGAACAAAGTGCTATTAAAATACAGTCAGGTAATAGCTTTAAAACATTTAACATTTTGCTTAAAGCTGGTGCATGTGTACTGTTGGTAGATGGATGTACATGCTGGATGTGAATTTTGCTGTTTTCCTGATATTATATTTGACAAAATACCTTACACTTGGTGATATCTGTTCTTATGAAGAAAAATTTATTTTAACATGGTTCTGACAATCTCTTTACTGAAGTTACGTTCATCAATGTTTCATTTAAAAGGCAATTCTAACAATGGGAGGATGTGATTGCACACAGGGTACTGTTAATAATAATATGATGGCATGCACTGACAAGGTTGTATAATGTAATGAAAACAAAATGTATTAACCATCTTAGATAAGAGCAATTACAGTGGTGATGGAGACATCATCTGATAATTTTAATACATTTCAAATCTTATTTACATTCTGATTCTCTTCTGTTTTATATTCATTTCATTCATAATAACTTTACTCACCATAAAACCTAGTTTTTATGTAGATTTACTCTTTGTGCTTGTTTGCGATTTTTTTGAAAGATAAAGCCTGCAAAATATTTATTAATACTTTAATGGAGGTCTTAATTCCTTCCAAACTTTTTTTATTCTTATAGCCTTTTGAGTACCCAATGGATTATTTAATCTTTCACATCTCTCTTCAGCTTACAGGCGTTTTGTGGCTCGTAAAGAATACAGAAATGCAAAACATAACAAAAAAGTAGAAGAATATATTACTAGGCTTCAAGCAGGTAAGAATTGTTTGCTTTCATGGCTTTTCATGTGCCATCCATACAGAACATGTTGATCCAGATTCTTTGCTGTTACCTGACTGCGCTGATTGGCTATGCTCATTTACACATTCTGAAGTATATCTATTATTATGTATATGCAGTGGTTGAAATGGGTCAATGCATTCCATTACCTGTGCCTCAGAGTGGCTTGGAGGCACTTTCCACAGCTGTGAAGTGGGCTGGTTAAATGCCACAGCAAGCTTTTTCACTCCTACTCTGATGTGTCTAAGTGTTACAGTTGGTATTGCTGAAGCCCCATATGACACTGTCTGCATGTAATGTGTGTGCATGCTGTTCTATTAGGAATAGTTTTTGTTATGTATCAGCAATAGTTATGTTTGAGAAGACTACAACCTGTAATTTCACTCATGTCTCTGATTCTTTTTTGCCATCACTCAATCCAACTTCCTTCAATTCAGCTATTCCTTCTCTTCTGCAGCAATAACCACCTTCGGCCCAGATGTATGCTATGTGACATCCGTTTTTCCTCCCTATATTTCTGTCTCCCCTGTCCCTGCAGAGATGTCCCCAAACCAGATGTAGTCTAGGCAGCTCTGAAAGCAGCAGCAGTACAACTGGAGAGGCACAGGTCTGAAAACAGCTGTCACAAATCTGCACAGCACTTTCAGTAATTGCAAAGGTTGCCACCAAATATAAGCTAGTGCTGCCAGCGCCCAGGCTCTCTAGATTTAAACTACCTCAGATAGGCTTTCATGAGTACATACCAGCAGCAGTGCTGGCTTTAATCATTGTCAGAGACATCCGTTAATTGCGCTGAGCCAATGTTAGTGTGTACTGAAGAGCACTCCCTACAGGTGGTATAACTTCATTGGCATAGATAGCAATCTAAAAGCAGAATAAAATCCAGTGATGTGCCAAAAAATATTACACATATGAAAGTTATAAATAATGTTAGGATATTTAGCAAATGGAAAAATATGAATTTACCTCTTTTCTCTGTTTGTTGACCTCCACAATGTTTCTTCTCGTCTACCTTCTCTATCCTGTGCGCAGTTTTGTTTCAACTTTATTCAGTGCATGAGAAGCCGGAACAAAATGGAAGTCCATTTTTGCCTAGTTTTCTCTGGATTTTTTTTCCTCATTTATTTCTAAAGTAATGCAAAACTTCTCTGCCAGTTTGAAAACAAAGCTTAGACACCTACTATCTCATAATAAAGTTCTCAGGAAATGTCAGAGGTGAACCAGAGTCTAAAAAGACCAGACTTAGTTTATATTGGCATGTCCATTGATAATGTAACTTGATTTATTTCAAGATAAATCCTGTTGAGTTGCTTTTGTATGAAAATGGAATGAGGATTGGCTCAGAACTTTTCTATGGCCCTGTCAGACTGTGGTATAAAAACCAATTGTGCCACTTCCAGTAAGTATTTGGGTTCGTTTGTGCTATATCCAATTATCAAGATGTAATTTATGTGCCTTTTATACAGTGCTTCTTACACTGAAATACTGCATCTAGTGAAGCCCAAGTTGGTCTAAATTACGAGTAGGGAATGCTAAAGCAAATAAAACCTAGCACCAAGTCATATTTATGTGTTGGAATAGACTGCTTATGCTCCCTTCCCATTCTGAAGTGAGCTTGACCTTTCCCTGTGATGCAAAACAATCTCAGCAGACTTGGAGTAACAGCTCCCATATCTACCATCTCCTCAAGGTATTTAAATCACCTGAATCCTTTAGCCCCATAATCTTGGTACTGCATTTGGAATTAGAGCTCAACAGAAATATTTTGACAAAACACTGTTATTTTTATTTTGCCATGGATTAGCAGGTTTGTGCTGAATCCCTGGAATTGCAGACTCGTCCAAATCACAGCACTGTGGCGACCATCCCAGTTCCTATTAGGAAATTATTTGCAAGTTCAGGAATTTTTGAAGCAACATTCTGAATGCAATTCAGTTTCTGATTTAAGATGCTTCAGTGTAATGTCTAAAAGTGACCTAGGTGTCCTCTTACATTCAGCAGAGCACAGAGTTGCATTCATTTTATTCAAAACCACCAAATGCTCAGCCCATTTACCCCCGTATTGCTATCTAGTGTAATTTGAGATGCCCTAGGTTATCTTCCCTGACTTCCAGTTTTATTTCAAGTGGTGTACTCAACTTGTTTCTGTACTCCCCAGAAGGTCCTGTCTGTCTTGTTCTTTCTGCCAGCTCCATGTAGATGCCTTGACTGTCCTGGAGCATTTCAGATGGCACTAGATACCTATGTGCCAGCAACTGCATCAAGCCCCTAGTGAGTAGTCAGCACCCAGATGTATCAGGAAAGACCCATGTTTGAGTCCTTATTCATCCTGGTTCAGACCAGAAGCTTAAACTTGTGCCTCCCACAATGCACATATGTAGTGAGCACTCTTGCCACAACGCACCTGGTTACTGTGGAGCTGAGCACACCGTTCATGCTGAGCTTTTTCATTTTGAATAATGAGTCTTTGCAAAAGGAGCACGAGCTAAGTCTTCTGTAACTGCTGAGCTATAAAATTTTCAGTTCTTCTCTGATCTATTGAATGTCCTTCTAATTCCAAGCCTGTGCCTGGAGACAGCCTGATAAACTCTATAGCCTCATAATCAGGCATTTCCCAGGGAAATGAAGGACTGAGTCAAATCAATTGCCTGAATTAGGCAAAGCAAGTACATAAAATTGAGAGCACCGTGTTCTAGAGGCACTTCTACAGCACTGTGGTTCTGCTTCATTCTGCATCTTCCTGTATTTTCTTTAGTCCACTAAAACATGAAGAAAAAGCTTGTTTCTCTCCTTATGTAGAATGGGTACAGCTTCCTGAAATCTCAAAAAACTTTTGCGGGACAGAAGAATTTCAGATGAAACATAATCATAATAACCACCACAGTCTGTATTTCCTTACTGGTTTTTGTTTAATGCTGTTATCATTTGACTCTGAAATGTGTGGGACACCCATTGCTTGTTGCCTAATGTTGTTTTGTATTACAATTTGTATCAGCTGCCAGAGGATACTTACTCAGGAAGAAGAGAAAAGAGCTAACTGAGATGAGAAACAAAGCAGCGGTAGCACTTCAGTCTCACTACAGGGGATACAAGGAGAGGAAGATCTTCAAAAGGAGGAGGTAGTGTTATTTTCTCTCTCATGTCATTCAGATGTGTCCCTTTTCAGTAACTACGCTGCTGAAGAACACTGATGTAAACCAAAAGTGAAGCAAATTAGGATTATTCTAGATATGCATGCAGCGGTAATGTACATTTATGTGGAGGTTTTTAATGTCAGTAACCAATTATAATGTTTTAATGTTGTAACATTTTTAATGTCAGTAGCCACATATTTTTAAGCCCAGGGAATAAAGGCCTATTTAGGGGAAAGAGGAGCAATTTTATGCTTACCTGTAATGTTAATGTAATCTGTAAGAGAGACTCTTGGAAGTAGCTCTTCATAAAAAATGCTCAGACAAGAGCGAGAAATAGGCATCTGCAAGGAACTGTTCTCACCTTGAGTCACTGAGACAAGCATAGGTGATGACAGCGGGAACCCAGATGCCTTGCTCAGATCAAACAGCTGCAAGTTAGGTGAGGTGAATCACATCCTAAATATTTCTGCAATGTGGTTGTAGTCCCAGTCTCTGAAATGCAGCTAGTAGCACTTTGCTCATCACCTTTGTTTTTTTCAGTGGTAGCATTTAAGTATGTGGAGACTTGTCCAGAGAGGTGAAAAACAGCTGTGAAGGAGGCCAGAGTCTCAGAGAGAGGGAACAGGGTGGCAGGTTTCACCTGGCACTGAAGTTTTATTGGTAGTAACAAAGACACTTTAGGGAATAGGTCTTTTAAATTTGACCTGGACCTATGCCCAGGATCTTTCTTTTTGCATTCCTGGTGTGAATTAAGGTACTTTTCTTTCATGAGTACATTTAGGATTGTGTGTATTGATACATATTTGAGGTGCTAAAAAGTCTCTCCCTCACGTTGTTGTTAACATTTAAATTAATTATTTACTGTTTTATCAGCCCTCATGCAGCTTAGATTGTTCTCCTAGCAATTTTCCATGAAGAGTTTAACGGAGATAGCCCTTTCCACTTTAAGAAATAATAATCATCTGAAAGACAGTTTGTTTTGCTATCTGTAATTCCAGCTACATGCACTAAATCTTTCCCACATTGTAATCTATCAAATTGCCATTTAGTGCACAAACACCACCAAATGTAATTGTAAAGTTGTCACTATCCTTAATCTCCTTCAGCTATAATTTTTGCCCAAAACTGTATTCCATTCAGGGAATCACTTAGAAAGAAACAAACTCAAAATGCAGCATCCATCAGTGAAAAGGAAAAGGATGAAGAATTTCAAGATAATGAGGGAAGTCCAGCTGGAATGAAGAGTGCCCTTCTTAAAACAGAAGAAGAAGCAGCTGTCATTGTTCAGAGCCATTACAGAGGCTACAGAGTCCGTAAAAACATAAATTTTTATGAACAGCACAAAAAAATAGCAGAGGAAGAACTATCTGCCGTGGAATTCCTTGAAGCACAACTGCAGCCAGCTCAAAATGATACACTGGAAGAAGCAGCAAATGAGGACACTCAAGATGAAGCCGATGCTGTTACTGACAGCGAGTGCTCTGGGTACAGCGACACAAAGAATGTACAGGAGCAACAGAAAGCATCTACTGAAGGAGAGGGAGATTCTGTGATGCAGAACCCTGCAGTAGAACATGTCGGTGAAGGTGAAGAACAGGCCTCTTTGGAAGAATCTTTCAGCAAAACTGTCAAGATCACATCTGAACCTAGTCCCCAGCAAGAGCAAGATAACCAAGACATGCTCAGTGCAGATGGGCGAAATCAAAACTGGGCTGAGGTCCAGCCCAGGACTGATGGGGATGTGGGAAGAAACCACCTGAAACATGAAGCAGTGGTGCCCACAGGGTGTAAAGGAATTATAAGAAAAGAGTCACTAAGAGGCTCATGGAAGCAAGGTGAGGCAGAAAAACAAGGTTCAGAAGACAAAGAGAAGGCAGCAGTGGTTATTCAGAGCAGTTACCGGGGTTACAGAAGGAGGGGACAACTCAGAAAAGAAGGAAAACTACCTTGCAAAAGTCAAGTGAAAGCTGTAAAGGAGCCAACAGAAGCAGTACACATTCAAAATAATAATCCCCAAACAAGGAAGGATAGGGAAAGCACCCGTACGGAGGCTGAAGACTCCAAGATGCTGAAGGGAGACTCAGAGAAAGAGGCTTGTGATTTGGCAGCCTTTTCACGGCAGGTAAGAAGCTTGTAAGCTACATATGTTGAGCATAAAACTCTGAGCAATGACCAAGTGGCAAGGTGGTTTTACTGGCTTCAGTTGCATCAAGGTTTTACTCTCTAAACTAAGACTGAGATTTTGTAATGAGTGTTCTCTAATAATGCATATTGTGGGCTGCAAGAGAAAATACCCTTTTCAGGAAGGAGGGAAAAATGAAGTTAGAGCACTGGCAAAAATTATGTTACTTTTAACCTGGTTTAGGTTAAATGCAGAAGCTTTGCCTATGTTTGTTGAAATGTGCATTTATCAGTCAAGGCCCTTAATTCAGTAAATTTGTGAAATGTCTCCATAAACGAAACACAAAATTTCTTGGCCGATGTTAGGGACTCGCACATGTGTGGCAAAGTATGCCTACAGCTGTAGAAGCTGTTTTGCATCAGCAAGGCACTGTCTGCTCACGTGCGAACCAATATGAAATAGCTGCAGGACTGGGCTGCAGTGTGGAGTTTCCTACATGTCTCTTTTTTCTTCCTTTATTTTTTTTTAAAAGGGGATGGGGAGGTAAATGTGGTAGGGGTCTACCCTATAGAGCAATACCTTTTAAATTCATTCTCTACTCCACTATTTTACCTTTGATTACCTTGGAACATCTATACTTGTTTATATAAAAATGTAAAATTCTGTGTTATGTTTTCAGATATCAAAATTATCCGAAGACTACTTAGCACTGCAGCAAAAATTGAATGAAATGATATTGTCACATCATCTGAGACCTGTGATGCTGTCCAGAGATAAGCAAGCTAATGGCCGACTTTCTTCTCATGTTTGCCAGCCAGGTAATGTTGACCCTTACTGTTAGCAAAATCTTCATTTCTAAACAGGACTGTCAAGAAGTGACTCCTAGTCATGTTTTTAAGGGCCAAGGAATGAGTTAGCTCTGGCTTCTTATATATCTCAGGCAGTACATTTTTGTACTAAGCCCCATATCAGTACATGTCTGGAACATAGATTCCAGAGAAATAGCCAAACCTGGTTGTGATTTATGTATTTACTATTTTCTTGGTATTTTGTTTCAGTGCTGCTTAAGAATGAATCATTGTGAGACTTAGACATAGCATTTCTAGCAATAGTTTTATTGGGTAAAAATTCCACATTGGCTCTTTTTTACTCATATGTTCATAGAATCATAGAATGGTTAGGGTTGGAAGGGACCTTAAAGATCATCTAGTTCCAACACCCCTGCCATGGGCAGGGACACCTTGCACTAGACCAGGTTGCTCAAAGCCTCATCCAGCCTGGCCTTGAACACTTCCAGGGATGGGGCATCCACAGCTTCTCTGGGCACCCTGTTCCCGTGCCTCATCACCCTCTCTGTGAAGAATTTCTTCCTGTTGCTCAGCTGTTGGTGCTGTTGTTAAGACATGGGACTACTTTTTGAAAACAAAACCTTTTTTTAGGTACTATGTCAAACAATTTACCAAAGTTTGTCACACATATGCTGAGTAAAGTTTTAGCTATCCACAAATGCATCTGAGGCTATCAAAACTTGTAACTTCTACCCATGTTGGTGGGTATGTCCTTAAAATTACAAGTTTTATCAATAATTGGCATCCATTGAACTCGCGCACTCAAGAGAACATTGCCTCTGAAAATATACTCAGGTTATTTATATTCCAGCTAACATGGGCAGTGGGGGTTACAAAAATGCAAGCATGCTTGGAGCAGGTTAGGTGGCAGTGGGGAGGAGTACTGGGAGAACAAAGGTGGAAGACATGGGTTTCAGAGCATGCAGGTCATTGACACCTGTGCCCCATGGAGAGATCCACAAAGAGCTGACTGAGCTGCTCAAGCCTCTTCAGGTGTAATAGATGTGACAGGGCTGTGTCTTTCCTCAGCCTGTGTCTTGGGCTCCAGTTGTGGAGGAAGATGAGGGCAAACGTAGCAGATGAATGGGTGGGTCTTCATTTCTGCAGGGGTGCTTGTGCCAGTCCATGCCACTGCACTGCCTCTGGGGAAGGTCACTGCTTGCCTCTGCACAGCTGCGATCAGCTCTAAGACTGTCCCACACTGCCCAGAGCTAATTGTACTATTTTCACAGTAGCGCTGTGCATTCAGTTGTCATGTACACTGAAACTTCTTTCTGTTCCTATGGCTACATTGATGCGATCCTGAAAGTACTTCACCCCTGCTCTGCAGTCCTCTCAAATGGGCAAGGTGCTAAAATGAGGCTTGGTGGTTACAAAAGCTAAGCCTCTAAGTATAAACTGGCTGCTGGTAAATAATCTTTGTAGTTCATCCTGTTTCCAAGACCGAAGTCTGCAAGAGAAAACAAATGCGAAATGGAAAATTTAATGCCATGATTTTTCATTCAGAGCAATGTTTGTGATTGTCATTAATGGGTTTGTACTGATTTCTCTATTAAATACTGCTGATTTTTGACAAGATAAACCTGAGGAATTAAAAATGCATGCTTTGGAAAATAACTCTTGGTTCTTACACATTTTCCTACAGAAGCTAGAAAAGAGAGGTAGATAAGGGAAAGGGAATACATAAATCCCTGTTTTATATGTTAGAGATCTCATTACTTACATGAGTGACCCAGGTAAAAATGTACAAGCGTGTTCATGCCACATGCAGAATGGAGCAAAGTCCACCCTTCGCATTGCTATAAATTTAAGTATCTCTACAGGAGGCAAAAGGATGCCGGGGTTTGTCACCTGTGCATGCAACCCTGCTTAAAGTGGTGACCAGGCAGCCACTTCACTTCCCTCTATCTCTGAAAACGTCCCACTGCTTTAAACCTCGGTCGAAATGTGCCACTATAGCACAGGCCAGCTAAGGTTGTCCCACCAGCCCTTAAACACTGTAAAGCATGTGTTGGTCCCTTCTGTCTCAAACCAAGCTAGCCCTCCCAACCTATTTACTGCTGTGCAGCTACTCACTGAATGCTCTGCTCCGGTAAGGCAAGCAACCCCAAAACAGTCCTCTTCCAGCTCTTAACAGAACTCTTGTGCCCAATCTTCCTGCAGCCAACTTTCCCTTGATACTTTAGCTGAGCCTGGCTCCTCGGCCCTTCTCGCCAAGCTGGTCTGAGCTGGGCAGCCGTAGTTTGTGTTTGCTGTGTTCTGTTGTTAACCCAAGTGCCTTGCACAACTTGTATGGCTATTCATGGTAAATGTAATGAAGGTGACTTTTGCCAGACGCTGAACTTCAAAAAAGCATGAAGGAAGGCCAGCTGGGTTCTAGTCAAGTGCTGCATTCTGCCAGCCTTCCCAGCCATGATGTGAAGTTCCACTCTCTGCACCACAGTGGGTGCCAGGCTCAGCTGCTCACCTCGGGTATGCAGTAATGGCAGCAAGGACCTGAGCCTTCATTTCTCACATCCCCACAGCCATACCAGAAAGACCTTTCTTGGTGTAGAATGTGACCTCTCATTTTCTACATTGGAACATAATTCACATGGCAGGACCGCTGTTTCCAGTTATGACCAAAGCACAGGACATTGAAGCAGAGAATATGCTGCAGTAATTCCTCAGCTTGCCTGTGGGCCAGTTGGAGCCCAAGCATTACAGAGCTCCATCACAAAGCTGCATTGTCTTGAGTAGGTGTTTGTTAAGGCAAACGTGATCAAACTAGATGTAGAGAATATTGAAGTGAAGATATGCCTGTGTTCCGTTCATTTAGGCTGTACAGTCTACAGCACAGGAGTTAGCAGCATTCTGGAGAGCGTACTGTCTTCCTGTGTGTAATACAGGAAGGTGACTACATAAAGACTTGAGGTAATGTATTGCAGCCTAGCATGCTAAAGTGACACAGGTAGATGTGGTGAGTGATCCACTGCCTTATTAAACAGGGAAGAGCCTTCCTGTTTTCTGGCCTACATTATGTGTTACAGCACAGTTTATACACACACATTTACAGAAGGATACGCTTTTACTGCAGGTTTCCCTCTAGGGCTACCTTTGCTGTCCTGTCCTTATCAAGGCAAGGACTGTTGAGCTTCAGCTGTTCTTTACATCATGTGGTATTTACTTTGGTCATTTGCATTTATTTACACTAGTTTTATATGTGATTTTACTGCTACAACACACGCATTGTATTTTGTAGCTATATCCCAGATAGGAATACTTGTCTGCCTTCATCTGTGGGTAGGTGGCCGTTGTTCAGTTTGAGAACTTAACAGCTCCTCTGACAAAATATTTTATTACATTGCTACCCACAGAAGGGGGGGGGGAACTGTGGGACAGCTAGATGATGTGCTGTGACAAATGTTCAGATTTACAAAACTATTTATTTTAATGAAAATGCAAATCCTGCAGTTTAAAGAACATATAAGCAAAAAGGTTAAACAAATTTTAAATCCATAAGGTTTAGTTGTTCTTAAGTGAATTTATTTGTATTTATAAAAATGCATAAAGCAAGCTGCACAAGGTTCCTGGAATAAACAATATTCCCTGGGGCTTGAATTTCTGAGTAGGTTATATTTGCTTGCTAAATGCTTTCAGCTAAATGTAATGGCCGCATCCCAGGACGGCACCTTTGGACTGCTGGTGAGCCTTGGGTTACTGCGGTGTCAGAATAGATGCACAAATGGCCGCTGTCAAGTTTTTTGAGCTCAAAGCCTGAAGCGAGGGGAATTTGATCATTTTGGGAGCAAATTTCTTCTTTTTTCTCTAGATGAATGATGGTGCCCAGCCTACTCAGTATTAAATGACAGTTCAAGTACAAAATCTCAGGAAAAGAATTTTCTATATTTAGAATGAAATTCACATGGTACAAGGAACTCCAGTGCAGCTGAGGGCCTTTTCAGCTACACGAAGCAGTGAGACAGGCAGGGTTTTCATCCAGGATTCCTCCTGCTGTAGTCTGCCACAGCATTATTTATGGGAGTTTCACAGGCAACCTTTGCAAGGAAAAGGGAGCCTGTATAACACTGAGTGAGCAGAGCGGTATTCACTGGCCAGTCTTTCTTCTTTGCAAGTGAGTGCCCAGCCAGGGAGCACTGAGGTGAGGGACTGGAGAAAAACGGGGTGGTCAAGCGCTTCTGCTGCCTGGTTGATCTCAGCTACTGGTGTGGCCCTTTGGACACCGTACAAGATCTGTGTTGGGAGTTGGTCAGATCCATGGCAGAACATAAGATTGGTGAGGTCATGGAAGTGGAGTACAGGCATTTTCTTTGAACATCCTCTCTTAAATATCAATAACCCGGGTCACCAGACTCTCAGAAATGAGAGTATTCGTGTCAGCCAGACTGAAACTGCTTCTCTCAGTGGGGCTGGCGGAACTTAGCCACGAGACGTCAAACTCTCTCAACTCCTGCTGGATATAAAATTCTCAGTCTCTTGCAGTTCCTAGTTCTAGGTCTGTGCCAGAATAATCCCTCTGTTTTTTCCAGATTGATAAGAATCTGCACCCATCAACCATAATTTCCAAATCTGGCTGTGGTAAATATCCCATGAATAAACAATACCTAAAAATTACCAACAAGAATGTTGAAGAGCAGTACTTTTCTTTGTGCAAATCTCAAACTTGAGTAATTACATCCTCCTACTATGTACAATTAGGATAGGAAAAAGGTATCCACATAAATGTTGTAAGCAGTAATGAACTGTTCACTTCTCATTATCAAGTCCTGGATTTCCGGTTGTTGTATTTGCATTTTTCTGATTAATTCCAAGCCCCTCTACAAAACCCCATACAATTATTGCTCCTCTTCTTGTTTTTCTTCCTGCTCTATTCTGAGCCTGGCTTTACACTTCCTTTCCTCATGAGATGTGGATCAGCGCTGAATCAAACATGTAACATTTCACTTAAATGACCTAAAGACTGGTTTATCTGTTTCTCCAGGTGGCCTAATAAATACAGACCTTTCATCACTTAGATGCTTATCACAGCTATAACCACAGTCTTTCTCCAGTCTTCTGTATAAGATCTGTTGTAAGTCGTACATTAATTTACATTATATCCATGGACGTCGATTCCTTGAGATCGTTGTCTTCCAGGCTTATCACTGTATGTCAGAACGTGTAGACACAGTTCAACCTAAGGGGCTGTTGATACTGACTTATCTGTATTCAAGCATTGCTTGCTCCTACTTGAGTGTTTCAAGAACATGCAGCTCTTAGCAGTTTCCATAGTTTGTGGTGGTGTTCGTACATTAAATGAGCTGGTCCTAAATTTTATTGCCCCAGTGTATTTGGAGCTTTCAGCGAGGACTGAGTATGAAAGTAGTAATACCTTGTAACTGAACACCATAGAGTCGAAGAATGTGTGTGCAACTTAGGCAGGAAACTTAGAGGTAGCGTTAAACAAGCTAGCTGAGATACTGATAGAAATAGGGCATTTTCCATAGATTTGCTAAGCCCTCTTTAATGTTACCTGGCAGCCACACTGTTCACATGCCTCTGCTGACGCTTCACTCTCTAATTCATTCATACTCGTGGAGAATGACCTTAAGTTTTATTAAACTTCCCACCATCGCTTGATCAAATGTATGATTTGACAGTCTGCTTCAGGTTTGGGCAGCAGAGAGATGTAACTCCCTGGGGGTGGGTTACAGCGGACTTTTGCTGTTGAGGTTCAAAAGCAAAGCATCCATGCCACGCCAGCAAAACCTCTTTCTTTTGACTGAGTACTGACTGCACACACTGAAACGGTTTGAGGAAAACCCTTCTCCCTTTCAACTTGTTCAATGCGCCTACCCATTGGTAAAACCTTTAAAAAGGAATGTCAGTGTAGTTTCGAATGGGTTTGTTTCCAGTTCGTCCTACGCGTTGCTTCTCAGGCACGGGAACGTGCCGCAGCACTGACAGCCCCTGTTCGGGTGGATATAACGGCAGGGCATGGGCCGGCTGCAGGGCCGGGAGCTCAGCACAGTGCTGCTGTCCAGCTCCTCAGCTGTGCTAGGGACAAACTGGGGCGTAGCCTTGAGCAAGCCTTGGTGTGCCTAGCTTTGTGCAACTCCTTTACCCTGCTAGTAGGGCAGGGATGATAGTGCCAACCCAACATCTCTGAAGTACTTCGACAGCAACTATTGTGAATGGTTTTCCTGTCAGTGCTGTAACTTACGTAGTTAAATGTTTGTTATATAGAAAGCATCAGTTTTCCTTTTATATACCAAGCACGCAGCCAGATCTTGCTAAAGATCCTTGAAGTCTTAAGGAAAAATAGTCTGTAAGATATTTTACTATGGGGAGAGTGAGCTTCAATAAAAACCTTTTCTTTGCAATGGACTCTAGAAGCAACATAATTGGCCTATTAATAAGTGAATTATTTTACTCCTTTATGCTTCATTGCCTACTGGTGAAAGGTGTAGGCCATCTGGAAAACAAGCGCTTCAAACTCACTATTTATCAGGCTTGGGTATTTAATTTGCCTTCTACCTTTAACTCTACTAAGTAAATGATTTCTGGAATTATCAGCAACTAATAAAAAAGCAAATTTTACTTTGGCAGTGAGTTATCCAAAACAAACAACTACCACATCAGCTCTATTTCAGTAGCAATGAACACACAGATCTAAGCGCAGAAGGAAATCACAGGTTCACTTTCTGATGAAACAAAGAAAGCCAAAGCCATCAAACTATTATTTAATTACTCTGTAATTTGTAGACAAAACTCAGAATTGCATTTTCAGCCCTCTATGCAATTTTTAAAAGGAACAATGGAGGTCCAAGCTTAGAAGGCTGCCTGCCCCAACATGGTATTTCTGTCCCCTCAGTTCTTTTGCGTAGTTCATACCTACGTACAGTGCATGAGCCAAGATGAAAAGCTATTTTTTACTGAAACGCTTATCTTTGTCAAAATGATGGGATTTGAATGCAAGAGGAGTCGTCTTTGCAGAGCACATATGCAAGAAGTATACAAGTAATTTCAGTTGGAATAATTGTAATCTAGAATACAATAATGCTTTACATGTTTGACTATGATGAATTATATAATGTAACAGTATAAATAGTGATGAATTCTTTGGAGGCAATAATCTTTAGGTATGATGAGAGCCTTTTCCTTGGGATTTTTCTAAATCCCTCAATTTGGCTTCTTTTTTTTCCCCCAGATTTTCATGCAGTCATGATCTTTGACACAATTTTTGAAAATGCCCTACAGATAATAGGTTGGGTGTTTCTATTAAACTACACTGAATTTTAAGTTTTTGGGAGGTTTTGTGGGTTTTTTTAAGGTATTGTTTGCAGTTTAGGCTCCTGTTGTGTTTAAAAATAAAACAAGGAAGATATGCCTCTACTCCATCAAAAATGGAAACTCAGTCAACTCCAAGTGGCCCATTTGGAATGCAACAGGGTAACAACAGCCCACATAAGAGCACAGTCAGGCCTGCTATACCTATTCAAATCAAAGAATGGAATTTATGTTTAATACAGGTTACTGGAATTAATTTATAGCATCTAAATTTCATTGTTTAACATAAATTATCTGTACCTGGCTTAGGAAAAAAAACATTGTTCTCTTAACTGCAAAATGTTAAAAGATACTTGTTCATTCATTACATGAGAAGCAGTCTGCGTTTCAGATAAGAAACTAAAACAATAAATGTAATCATCATCCACCTACAATTTAAATTAACATTATTCATTCTGCCTCCTCTGTCTATCCATGACCTTTACAAGCCTTTATTTATCACACATAACAAAAAACTTACACAGCTAATTTTGCAGGAGTCAACACTGATGTATTACTGATTGTTTCTCATTTTAAACGATTGTGCCACCTCCTTAATTAAAAACATGTCTGATGTACATGGGAGAGGTTTTATTTTTATCGTGTAAAAGGGTTTCTGATGGTCATTAGAGAGCAAAATACACGCTTCCTTCTGAGACTCGATCACATGTAGTTAGCCTATTGGGGGTGTGGAGTTAAAGTTACTTCATGTGAAAGAGGATTAGATTATCACAACACACTTCAGTAATTCATTGGGAGCTAGATCCTCATTCCACCCTCACACTACATTTATTTATGAGTTATGAGATGTTCTTTCTCATGAACTGTCCTCTGAATACTTCTGTGACGGGACAAGGACAATCTAAAACCTCACTGGATAATGCAATATACCTGGACACATGGTTCACCATGCCTAGAGCTTGTGCTGTGACTTCATTCATCACCCTGTACGTGTCCCATCTCTGTTGTAGGTGTTCCTCTGCCCTGCAACCTCTGCCTCCTTCATCATGAAGGAATTGCTGTAGCCCCCTATTAGCTGAAGCTGAATGTAACGTGATCATGCTCACCACACTGTCCCTTTGTGGTTCCTCAGGCCCCCAGAGCCAGTTCTGTGTTGTCAGAACAGCTGAGCCTGTGAATCCTTAGCAGCCCTATATCATACTACCATCAGGACTGCACATAGATTTTTAACAAGCAAATATCCAAGACGTTTGTCTAGTTCTGCATGTGCCAGCCAAAGTAAACCACAGTCAGTGCCTAAGTCTGAGTTTGGAGACTGCCAGAGGACAGCAGTTCCATTTTGTGTTAAAATCCTGATTTTGTTTCCATTAGAATAAAACCATTTTTTGCATGTTTGCAGGAAGTTTTTGTAGAAATAGACCAGAAGGTGAGTACACTAAACTGGATTACACTGGATGCGATGGATCACGCTGCGTTGCCCAGTGGTACATGATTTGGCTTGAAACAGTGCAGCCTCAGCAGGAGACCTTGGGGAAAATCTACACCAGAGGACTAACCTCTGAATCAGAGGTCTAACTCCTGTTCCTTCAGCCGACACCTTAATGATTGACTTGAGTCTAAAAAAGTATCATGCCCACCACCCAGCTCCCTGTTACGGTATGGTAGCCTTCCAGTAGCCATTACCCTTCAGAGTCCTTTTCTGAATGCGGACCACCAGCCCTGTTCAGGAGAAGCCTGTGCCAGGCAGCCTGCTGGGCTGTTCCAGTCTGACACTCGTTACGTGGTACATGTCCATGTGGTAGTCAGGACTCAAACAGATAAACCCATTCCCCGTTCCAGTCTGCTCATGCAAATGACACGAGCAGTTGCTTTCTTGAGTTACTGCAATCCAGTGGCTATGAGGATTTTTTGGTTCTCTTCGGTGAGATTCTCTCCTGGTTTTATAACAGCCTCCCATTCTGTGAAGAAATCATTGCTATCTTGTGCTTTTTCACAGCTGCGGCCAAAGTAGAAGACTCTCGCCCAATGCAGAGACCCCCAAGAAGGCCACGGAAGCCTAAGACATTAAACAATCCAGAAGACTCCACCTACTACACTTTAATACACGTGAGTTTAGCGGTGTTTCGTGGGCTAAGACTGCCAGATAATTCCTACCTAAACTTTCTTGCTAATTGCCTGATTTCCTATATTCCTTTCTAATAAAACATAAAAGCTGTGCCCTGCTGAAAGGAGGCAGGCCACAAACTTCCCATTTCAAACAAGATTTGAGATTATTAAGGTTCAGAGTTACCCTGCTTGGGGCCCTAGTCAGGCCAATTTTTAGTTTTGTATGTAAACATACATGCATTCATTATACTCATAAGCAGCACTTGCACTTTCAATACCCAAATTAAGTGCTCGGTCTCTGTAGTTTCTTTGTAAGTCACAAGAGAGAAACAGGTTCATTTGGAGAGCTATTTTGAGTGTCCAAATTATTGCTTGATCATGCAGAAAGAGCAAATATTGAAATAGGCTGTATTAGTATGCACACTGTAACTTCCTTTACAAATGTGTCAGATTGTGATTGTGAAGGAACTGGCAAATACCAACAGCTCAGGAGAGTAATGGATTTGAGTGTCTCTATATATAACCTTTGGTCCAAGTTCAGATACCAAGGGCTGCTTTCCACTCTTGACTTCAGTGCCCTTAAATATAGAGAAAAAAGGCAAGAAAGTAAGCAGAAATGGGAAAATGTAAAAGCAGCTCAGAAAGCAGTTCCAACAAAAAAAGCAATTAAACTCATTTGCTCGAGGTGCCTGTATCTTAGTGACCTATTTTAACAGCCGGTGAGAGCCCAGCTAATAAACTAACCGTAGCAATTGCTTCTCCTTTCAACAGAAGGTGTCACCAGGGCCTTTAGGGAGAGTAGTGTCTAGCATACCAAAAAAAGACAAATATGGGTATGTTTTATTATGGATGCTTGGAAATAATACAGCTTTGGAACAGTGATATTCTGAAAAGAATTATGTTCTTAAGAATAAATTGGCATGTAAAAAGAAGATTTGCATCAGTGTGAACAAAAACTGCAGTAGTGCTGGGGAAGTTTTAAACTAATTTTAAGCAGCAGTTTTTCAAGGTATTAATCAATATTACCAATCAACCAAAAAAAGACAAATATGGGTATGTTTTATTATGGATGCTTGGAAATAATACAGCTTTGGAACAGTGATATTCTGAAAAGAATTATGTTCTTAAGAATAAATTGGCATGTAAAAAGAAGATTTGTTTTCTGAAAGTAAGATTGATGAGAAAAAGGACTGAAATGAAAGACATGACACTGAATTCTGCATTAGGAAATTTCTGAAGTGAAGTGTAATTCCAAAGTAAACGCATATTTAGAAAGCCGAGACTGTACAGTCAGCAGCATAATATTTTCTGAAAGCTGATTTGGTACATGGCCAGCTCCATATCAGAAAACAGTCATTGCATCAGTGTGAACAAAAACTGCAGTAGTGCTGGGGAAGTTTTAAACTAATTTTAAGCAGCAGTTTTTCAAGGTATTAATCAATATTACCTTCAATTAGCTATATTTTTCAAGAAGGCATGAAAAAGAAAAGCCTGTCTTCCTAACAGTGGTAGCAGAAAGGTTCAGTGTAAATACCTACTACGCTGAATTTTAGAAAGGAGACCTCCTAGTTCTTAAATTCTTAAACCTGGGGCAAGTCATTGAGCTCTAACTTGAGGGTAGTCAGCTTTTCCAGCTATCATGAATTTTCTGCCTTAAAGATCAAAGATCTCTGTGACCTGCAGGTATTCACAGATGATTATCAAGCCCAGATCACCTGAAAGTGAAGGCACACGATATGAATGCATTTTTTAAAAAACTTCCTCTGTTTTCTGCAAAACCAGATATTTCTCTCACATCATATTACAGACACTAATTAGACACCTTCCATTCTCGCTTATCTCCTTGCATATCAAATGAGCTAAAGTAGTGCACAGGTGTAAATGAAGTCTGACAATAGCCCATTGTTCATACAAGGTGGTAGAAGTTTATTTTGGGGTATATTTCTTCAGATCAGCCTATCATTTTGAAATTACATGTCCTGTGCATTTACCTGCGTAGAAGTGTCTGTCCATCAGGATTTCTGGTTCTCAGTGACGTCGCAGTGATACAATTTACTAATTCTAATAAGTTTTCACTCGCTTGCAGGAAACACAATTAAGACCAAAATTAAGACCATCTGCACTTCAAAATCGTGCTTCTGAAGTGGCACGCTTCAGATGCTGCAGCATCGCATTGTTTTGGCTGTAGGGACTGAAGTCTATCAGAGATAAGAAATTACTCACATTCCCTATGAATCCCTCTCCTCTCTATTTCTGGATGCTTTGTTTCCTAAAGGTGCTTTGCCACCAAGTACACTGCTTTTTAAATGTCTGTTTTACTCTACTACAACCTGTGTCAAGACTGCATTGACACGAATGAGAAGAGGATTATGCCTGCTCCCACTGCGATGCCCATATTCATGGAAATTCTCATGGCCTCACAGTAAATTTGCCTCAGTGCGATAGTGTTGTCAACTTCATTACAACAACTGTAGATATTTGAAAGTTTTACATCTCCTTTTTTGTTCTGACCGTGATCACTTCAGCTTTTTTTTACAGTATGGCAACTGAAATTTGGAAGTAACAGTGCTAATCTCATTCTCAATCTCAGAGATTCTGAAAACAGATTTTTCTGGGGCGCTTGATCAGCAATTTAGATTCTCTGTATTTTCTTTTAACAAAAATTATAGAACACTCTCCTGCCTAACATACTGATGAACGGTATCTTTGCATAAGCTTTCCTCTCGGTATTTTTAATTACTTTTTATTTTCTTAGAAATCAATACAAGACGAAAAACGGAAGCCAAGAAAAGAAAGGTAATTTTTTTTCATTATCTCACTATTGTCATTTTAGTCCTCTAGAAATAGTTCTTAGCTGTGCTTCAACCAGGAGAATAAAGCATTAAGAAAAGCATGGTAATTTGGTGATTCACAGGAAGGACATCATATACAAAGTCAAAATACGCAATTTTCAACGACAAAAATCCATTATAGAATTCAGTCGTTCAGTTTTACTACAGCATGGCCCTTTACCATGGCAACACAAGCATAATAATAAGTTAAGATAAGGTCCGCATCAAATACAGTTCTGACACAGAAAATAATTGAAGGTGCTTAAAATTCCAGTCAAAGCAAATGAGCAACCAGGTTTTTTTTGGTAGCAAAAATGCCAAGGCTGTTTAAATTCTCTCCTAAAAATATATGACTGTTTGGAAGTAGATCATAAAGAATGAAATCAATAATTATTAATAACAGGTGAAGAAGAGCAGCCCTTGAAATTTCAACCAGAAGTCTTTTCTTCACAGTGTAACTAACCTATTTTGATGGATCTCTGCAGAAATAAAGCAAGCAGTAGTTTTAGTCTGCCCTTCTGTATCTTAAATCCTTATGTGTGCTCTAGACCTGGTTCACATACATCACAGCTTTATTTTATTTGTGTTCCTACACTTAATTTTTTTTGCTGCTCCCCAGTTGCATTGCTGTGGTACCACAGCATGCGTGCTGTGGTCGCCTGCGCACAGGCGCAAGATGAACGGGCTCTTCCCACGATCCTCTGCTGAGGTTGCAGAGCACAAACTCCGTATCTAAAATACGTATCTTAACGGAAATTACATGACATGATATGCACATAGTATGTGCTTACAGCATCCAGCTTCATTCAACCACAGTTTAAATTGCACTTGCCACTGCTTAAAGGATTCACTTAATGTCCATGTCCGCTGAGCCTGGTCTGGTCCAGCTCTTCTGATGGCATTTGGATCCTGAAAAAATTTCACACCTATTTAGCAAAAAAAAATTAAAAAACCCCACCAACCCGAAATCTAGTGCTTTCTCTCATTTGGCCTCAGTTAGGTTTCACTCATCTTAAATCTAGTTAAACGGTTCCATGACTGCATCACATGCTGTGTCTGTATTAGTAGAACATAGCAACTGAAATCGATACGCTATTTCTGATTTCTATCATTGTGAGAACTGAATTCTGAACTTTTTTCAGGTTGCTTTTAGGATATTATTTTTTGCCTAGCCATTCTAAGATGGATGTTGGGATTGTTTTGTTCTGTACATATGACACCCTGGATAGCATTCTTGTAACAAAATAAGAGACATCTGCATTATTGACACCAACATCTGAACTAGTTGCTTTAGATCTCTTCTTGTACTTGGAGAAAAAAAATCAACTTCAGGAAAATGATTCATCTCTACCCCCAAGAGATACCTAAAATAGGTCAGATGAATTACACCATAAAAATGCCTCTCCATTGAGTATAATGGCAAACACAAACAATTTCAGTCATATATGTCTGGTTTATGAACATCTAAAAGTATTTAGCATTTCAAAATCATCAGTGTCTGCATCATACAGCAGTGGCATTTCAGAGGCTGATTTCTTGTGCATATATATTTTTTTCCTTAAATTCTCAACATAAACACAACTAATAATGATATTTGGTTGCTGTATTTTTGAATGTTGAATATAATATCGAAAAGTGAAACTGTTAACTTACTGTGCTTATTTATTGACAGTCTGAGCAAAGTTCTGGATTTAGATATCTACTACCAAGAAATTTCATCTCCTGATTCCACCTCAAAGGACAGCAGCTCTACCACAAGAAGGAAGAGACACCCAGCTGAGCGCAGGACTTCAATTTTAAGAGCTACTGAGCGGTAATTCATACAAAATAATAATAGGAATAAATAAATGTGGTATATCCTTGCTGAGATATCCAAGACATTCATAAATAGGAAGATACACTTTCAAATGAGATGTAAATCTATTTTTTATTTGTGGACTCTTAAAACATTAACTTGTAAAATGTATAGCTGAAAATTTCCTGTCTTTATGCAGGAGGCACAAATGCTAGAAGGATTGGTGTCCAGCCTACCTGCTAGTTTTTGGCTTCCCAAGTGTCAGATGAGATGGGCAGACATCCTGCTGTAAATCTCTGATCTAAAATCAGATTTAACCAAAGTAGAACCTAAAAATTGTGTTTCTGATCAGTTAAGTTTTAAATAGGGTGGATGCGTGACGAACGTTCTGCAGATAAGACACCAGCTTGACTGCCTCCTTTTCCTACTGTCCTGTGTCCATAGCCTGTGGTGGACCCCACCGAGGTGGACAGCCAGGAGAAAAACCCTGCAGGGAGGGGTTTGCTGTACCACATCTCTTCCCACATTGCCTACAGAGACGGTGACTGCTGCTGGGCTGAGTAAATTCATACTCTCTCTCTTGCCAACGCACCCAGGCAAACGCGCAAACACGCACGCGTTTGCACGCGCAAACACGTGTTTATGTATCTATATTTGTGTCTTCTTGTGTCTTCATATGTGTAAGAAAACCTTGGAAAATATCTCAGTCAAAGGCTTAAAAACACCAAGTCTGGGATGATGGTTGGGTTTGAAAATGTGTCCATAGTAGTAAGGAAAATGTTTGTAGCATGTTTTGTGCCCCCTGACTTGTTTTATTTGGGGTATTTTTTTAGGTAGGATCTAAATCAGTTTTAAGAAGGTGTTGTGAAGGCATGGAATTACAAGTGATTATATCAGAGTATTACCATACTGTTTACATCCCTTGGAAAAAGTTGCATTTCTGGGGCTGTTAATTACACCAAATCTTTCACCCTGAGGTCTGGTTTAGGTGAATGAGGATCTTACCACTGAGCTCACTAAAAGGAATTTCTTACTTCTTACTGTGTGCTGCTCTGATCGCATCCTGATTAGCCATAGTGAAAAAAAATCTGTGTAACTTTTAAATTTACACTGTTACCTCTGAGGGCCGATGAATCCGATTTCTGCTCTTCGGTGTCTCGTGCACGGCATCACCTGGATCTAAGGACTAGACAGTCATTTCCATCTACAGAAGTGAATCACTGGGTATTTTTCTATTTGGCAGTTTACCTTCGACGTTGGCTCAGGACCAGTGGTAGGGGACGCCTTTAATGGAGAACACTACAAAATCATTTCGTTATTTCAGAGTAATATACTTTTTAAATAACTGTTGTTTTATCTTCAGTCTTGCTCTATGGTAACACCTGGTGCCAGGTCACCATTCTAGCCGGTCAGAGGTGGCTCCCAAAATGCAGCTTGCCATCTGAAAAAATTAAATAAATAAGGGGGACACTGACAGTGAGTCCCACAGGCAGGTAAAAACCGGAGCAAACAAGTGTACGCCAACTGAAAACCTGGCTCGGTAACCATCAGGCAAAATGCTGCTGCAAAGCTCCCCCATGTTCTCAACGTTTTTATGTCCTTTATTATGTCCCCTCGTAGAAGAACATGTTGTTCTTTGGTGTTCATCTGCTCTTCGTATATAATGTGTTTGTTCTGAGATGCCTGCTTTATGCAGCACACGAAGAGGCCTAGAAAAGTCGGTTGATTTTTGTCCTTTCTCCTTTTATTTTTTCCCCCCGAGGGTGGAGGTTAGGCAGTTGAATAGGAACGTTTGCCAAGGTAACTGCTTTGACTTTAATTTCTAAAACACTTCTGTGCTTAATCCCTAGGTCGAGGGTTGCAGAAAGCCCCCTGGAAGAGAGTAAAACCGAAGATAATCCCTATGACTACAGACGACTGCTGCGGAAGACCTCACAGCGCCGGCGCCTTATCCAGCAGTTCTAGCTGCTGCTGCTGTTCCTGCTGCCGTTTGGCTTTTATTAGCATAATCTTTTTTATCATTTTATACCATGTGCTTCCCTTTTTTTGTTTCTTTCTAAATCTCCAGTGTTTCAAGTTTACAACGTGTGTGTTCATGTGAATGTGAATTACTGTGGTTTACAGCCCGACACCATTGCAAAGGGACACTGTCACTCACGTACCGTACACTAAAAGAAAATAATAAAAAACCAGCTTTCTTTTGGTACCACTGCTACACTTAACATTATTAGGCATTAAGCAGCTTAAATCTAGTTTACTTTCCTCAATGCCTGTTTCCTTCTTTTTCGCACACCATCAGTCTCATCCAATTAAAATAGATCATTTAGTTTATAGTTCCCTAGTTAAGCTTTCAAATTCCCATATGCACCTTCAGAAAACCTTAGTTATTGTTTCTAATAAGTTGTTTTACAGGAAAAAAAAATACAAGAACACCATAGGGGAATTTCTGCTCATTTTAGGTTTACAATGCCTAAATTTTGGGATGAACTGTATATGGTAAGTGTCCCTCTAATGAAACAAATGTAAATGGCTAATTGGATAGCATACTATGGCAGTTTATTTCATTATTGACTTTACTGTAAAGCTAGTAGCCAGTTTTAAAGGTCAGTATTGTGTGTATAATCTTTACGTTGGAGATGTCCATTTATGGGAAGTGATTCCAGCCCTCTCCTCTGCCTCTGAGATTTGTGACTCAGTGATGAACTTTTGTGTTTGCTTTGCTGTCCTTTGCATTAGATTTTTAGGAATCCTAATCTTTGGGGTGCCAGGAAAGGAACAGAAATAGGCTGATTGCTGCCCAAATGTAAGGATCATTCTCAATCAGTTCCACTACAAATTAGGTGGAAATAAAAGCGATGGCCACCGTGTTCGAAATTTCCCCCAGTTCTTTATTCAGAAGACCTGTTTTACTGAAACCACACAGATAATTGCTGCGCTTCCTTTCAGGATTCAAAATTGCACGTTCCCAGCTGGAAAGCAAGAGAAGGCAAATTTCATGACGCCACTAGAAAGGCCTGATCCTGCTCCCTGGTTTAGCTCTCTTCAGTACTAGGACGGGTGGCAGCAGCGAGCCCCGGGGGTTGGGTTTTTGTCTGTTCCCCCCACCACACTTGGCCCTTTCCCCAGAGACAGGTAACCATCGCTCCCTGACCTGTACCCGGCTATAAGGATGTGCGCTGGGTAAAAATCTGCTGCAGTGTAAAATTTGCGATAAATTGTTTAAATTTTGAAATCGGGTTTGCAGTTGCTTTCCCATGTGTTATCAAAACAGTAAATAAAGATGCACGAAGCGGTGATATGGTTGGCTGTGTCTCAGTTACACCCAGAACTGCGGAAACGCTGCGGACGAGGGATGGGTGAGCAAGGCTGGGAAGAGCTCGCAGCAGCCTCTCGCCGTGGAAAACCTGAGTTATTGTCCACGTTTCCTTCAGGCCAACGTGATCTGGAACTGCAACAGGCCTGTGATTTCAGAGACGCCTGGGCTGGTTCTCTCCTCTGTCACCAGGGCAGTGTTGAAGCGCATGATGATTCCCTGAGATTTCAGGGAATGTGACAGTCCCGGTAGCCGGTTGTTTTCCTCCTTTTTCCAGTCTCGCCTCTGAGACCTGCTGCCCCCGCGGACCTGGAGCGGGGAGGGCGGCTCCGCTGCCCCTTCCCATCCCCGAGGGATGCGGGGAGACCCTAGGAAGGCGCGAGGATGCCAGGAGAGTCGGCGGGGCAGGAGCCAGGGGCCGCCCCCAGGGC